ATGTCAAAATCCTTATCTTAATTTTATACAATACATACGGAACGTGTCACCATGAAACAACCTTTCATGTAACATTTTATACCCCGGCCGGAGATTTCCTTTTCCAATGTATCTTGACATTTGTCTAGGAACTTGATATCAATCTATACCAAGTCAACGGATCCCATCTTGACTATCACTTGTCTCACACATAAACAACACGGCCAATTCGGTATTAACACCTTGCATGATTAGCCTCATGTTTATAGACCATATGAACCATATGCGTTTATGCAGAATCCAACCGTGATATCTCAGGTCTAAGGATAATAATACCCTAGTACGTCTTATGATAAATCATTGACTACATTTAATATCCATGTGATTCATCATAAATGGCCATATTCGATAAACAATCACTAACCGGTATCCATGCTAATGCCCTAGTGATATAACTTTTATAATCACCCACACCAATACCATCACATCATATTTACGGAGGCATTAGCATGCCTACTATATAATATTATTGCCCAATTAATATACCTTGTAGGGAATACTTTGATGATTTTGATCTCTAAAGATTTGTATCATCTGGACATTTCACATGTAATACATATATATAAATGAAGCAATAAACCACATGTGAAATAAGAACACTCTTTTATTGATAAGATAAAATGTATATACAAAAAATATATACATCATATATATACAAAACATATGCCTCGGAACCGATGACACGATTGGTTCCTAGGGCTACACTAACAGCATACAATGTAGGTCATACAAGCAATTCGGTCACATAGAAAAAGTGTGGAAAAACAAGGGCACCAGCATGAGTAGCAGGCTCAAGTGGTGGAGAATCAACAACCCAGTCAGGAAGTTAAGCAACTCTTCATGGCCTTATGTTTGAAGCAAAAAACCTGTAGTGAGTGTGTGGTTGATTGATAGTGGTTGTACAAACCACATGACTCCAAACTTGACAACTTGTGAGTCTTGATCATTTTAATCTAGAGTTAAATTGGAAATTAAGAATTTTAGAGGTCAAGGGAAGAGGTGAGGTTGTTGTCCCAACTCCATCACAACAATATATCTCAAATGTCTTTATGTGCCTGAAATTAATCAAAGTCTACTAAGTGTGGGTCAAATGTTAGAGAAAATAATTACTCCTTGCACTTTCAAAATAGGTCATGCATTTTAGTGGATAGTTGCAACAATGAATTGATGAGAGGGGAGGCTAGGGAAAAGTTTCCAATAGAGGGGAGGAAATCAGTTCTCTGCTGGTCACCAAGCTTGATGAGACAAAATATGACACAAAAGGCTTGGCCATTTTCATTATATTGCGTCAAGGAGATAAAAAGAAAAGGCATTGTCCAAAATATGTCTGAAATTAGGAGAAATGAGAGGTTGCCAAGTCTATAATTAGGCAAACTCAATATATAGGCAACCATTCCCAGCAAATCAAGCTTGGAGGGATGCTGAAAAACTTCAACTATACACACGAATGTGTGTGGCCTATGCAAGTCTCTTCCTTGAATGGAAGTAGGTATTTCTCCGTTTATAAATGATTTTTAGGATGTGTTGGGTGTATTTTCTAAAGTAAAAGAGTGAGGTGGCAACAATGTTTAAGAAGTTCAAGCAAATGGTGGAGAACCAAACTGGTTTAAGCTTGAAGACAATCATAAGTGATAATGGTGCAAAGTACACCTCAAATCAGTTTGAAGAATATGTGTGGGAGCTGGAATAAAGCACCAACTGAGCAATCCATAACACCACAACAAAATGTGTGAGTGAGAGAAAAAAAGGACTAATGGAGATGGCTAAGTGTATGCTGTATGAGAAAAATCTTCCAAAGTTTTTGGGCAGAAGCTATAAACACAGTAATTTATCTACTGAACAAGTTGCCAACTAGAATCCTTGACAAAAGACTCCAATTGAGGCTTGGTATGAAGTAAACCAAGCATTAACAACCTCAAGGTGTTTGGCAAACATACTATACACATATTCCATCGACAAAATAGGCAAATTGGATAAGGGGCTGAAACTAGAATTCTGGGTGGGTACAACAGCATGTCAAAGCATATATGAATATGTGAAGGTAGATGAAGCCTCGCATGAATTGGGAAAGAAATGAAGTTGAGAACAAAGGAATGCTAGAGCAAGGAGGAGATCTCTCGGACAACAGGAAGTTTAGATGGCAGCTTGATTCTGAAGTAGAAGCTCTATTAGAGGTACAAGACCTTTGGAGAGATTTAGAGAGATGTATTTGGCTTTGATGGAGCCAACTTGCTACTTAAGTTGCAAAGTAAAGTATGGAGGGCAATAAGGAAGAAGAGTTAGGCATGATTGAGAAAAAAATGCCACCTGGGAATTAGTGGACAGACGCGTGGGGGAAAAAGTCATCCAAGTGAAGTGGGTTTAGAAGAAACTAAATTCGATGGTTTAGTAACAGGTATAAGCAAGGCTTATGGTAAAGGGATTGCCTATCAATAGGAGTGGATTTTTCGAATACTTTTGCACCTATTGCAAGGCATGACACAATAAGACTTCTCCTAGCACTTGTAACCCAATTCAAGTGGAAAACTTCCAGCTTGTTGTCAAGTCGGCTTTCCTAAATGGGTGGCTTGATAAAGAGATTTGTTGAGCAACCTGAAGGGTATGAAGTTGAAGGGAAAGAAGACAAGGTGTACCTCTTGAGGAAGGCCTATATGGCCTGAAACAGGCTCTGGGGCCTAATATAGCAAGATCAATGAGTAATTGATCATTTGGGGTTTGCAAGGAGTTCAAATGAGCATACTTTATATGTTAGAGAGATAGGAGATGAGATGACAATGTATCTCTATAGTTGATGACCCTTTGGTGACGGGGTGTGATTCCTCTCACTGAATGAATTTAAAGCTAAGATGCATAATGAATTTGAGATGACTGACTTCGGAGAAATGTCTTTCTTCTTGGGAATGAAAGTGTATCAATCTCCTAATGGTATTTCCTCCCAAAGGAAATATGTACATGAATTACTCAAGAAATTTGGGTGGAAAATTGAAAGTCAGTTAGCACACCTTGTTGCAAAATTAGAAGTATGTAGAGAAGATGGAGATGCTAAAGGGGATGAAACCAAAATAAGAGTATGGTTGGGTGCTTGTGTACTTAATAGCAAAAAGGCCTAACATTATGTATACAGCTAGCTTGCTCCCTAGATTCATGAATGGACCAAGTGAGCTACATTTGGAAGCAGTAAAAAGAGTTATCAGAGTATATTAGAGGTGTTGTAGACATGGGAATTTGGTTTAGGAAAGCTGATAAACTCAACTTATATGGCTACTATGATGTGATTGGGGTGGTTTTGGATGATATGAAGAGCACTTCAGACTATGTTTTCTACTTGAATTCAGGGGCCATAAGTTGGATATCCAAAAAGAAAGAGGTTGTAGCACAATCAACCACAGAACAGAAGTAGAATATATTTTTGTTGTTGCCTCAACAACTTATTTGGTTGACGAAAATTTAAAAGATTTAAAGCTAGAACAGAGAGAAGCAAATTTGTTGTATTGTGACAATCAATCAGCAATGCTATGGCCAAAAATCCAATTCTTCGTGGCCGCACTAAAAATATCAAAATTAAGTTTCATACGTAAGGGAAACTGAGCAAAGTAATAAAACAAAGTTGGTTTATTGCAAGGGAGAAGAACAAGTGGTTAATATAATGACTAAAGCCAGAGCAAATCCAAGTTTCAAGATTAAATCAAACTTGGGTTTCTAGCAAGAATATCAAGGAGTGTTAAAACTTGTGATATTTTGCTAGAAAAGTTTGCTGCTCAAACTGTGTATTTTGGCGCCAAGTTTGAATGTGCTAGGTTGTTTTTCAAATGATGTAGCTATTTATTTTTGAAATATTAATGTGATGTTTTTAGGTAATGACAGTCGGTGATTAAGGCTTCTTTCGATATAATGTATCAGCATTAGTTAGAGTTGTATGGTTAGTATTGTATTTGCTTAAAATATTCACTGCAGAGTTGTTGAAACAGTGAAATGTTTGTGTATAAAACACCCCTGTTCTATGAATAAAAAATTGAGCAGATTTGTATTTCAAATTTTCCCTCTCTGTAACTCTCTCTCTCGTGCACTTAAGCCTTCACTCTCTTAGCATAATCCAGCTATAAAACCTATAGCTATATCTCATTTATAGTATCATTGCTCCCCAATTGTAATTCTTTCAAACAGGGAAATGCAACTTGGAAAATCAACCAAACAACTAAATAATTAAAAACGAAGAGATAGGCTACAAGTGAAAGGAAAAACGGAAAAGAGTGGTTCAAGTTCATATCCAATCACATTATGCAAGTATGCACAATACAATTGTTATTGAACATACCAAATCATGAGAACTCCACTGGAGTATATTGTCTATCCTATACATTTTCTCTAATTATATCTTTCTTAATCATTTTGGGATTGATACTTTGTTGTAGAAGTTCAAGAACAATGAAACATGAAATTTTGCAGATGTATCAATATTGATACTAGTTGAACAGTATACAATGTACAATTATATTATAGTATAACAGAGTAATTTGGAGCTCATACCTTGTCAACCAAGTAGAATGGTTCTTGAAGTGGGATCTCCTGTTCGAACTCTCCATGAATTTCTTCGAGGCTCAAAATTTTCTGTTCCCAAGTTCTCTAGTTTTTGGAATATCCCCAGTATATGGAGATGGAACTTTTTTTGTAAGTTCATTACAAAACTGTACCGCTTTAGAGATTTATTTTGCAGAAGGAATCCGATAATTGATATTTTCAAATTATCGGGAGCTAATAAAATTTTGAAACCTCAGGGGGATAATTGATAGTTGTCCTAGAATATCAAGTCATTCATATTGGGCCCAGGCCCACACCTTATTTTGATTGGGCCTCGGAGGCACGCACTTATATAAAGCCGGAGCTTAAAATTCCTTAAACAGTTCCTTATCCATTTCGAGAAAACATAAAAAAAAAAAAAAAATTTGAAAGTTTCTCTGAGAGCCAAAAATGGCGGGAACCGATCCAAAGAGGCAACTGCTAAACCTGATTCGCGACGTCGCCTCTGAAAAGTCTCAGGGAGGTCAGTTTCCGTACAAATTCTTTTTTCCCGTCGCGTATGTATGTATGTATGTATGTATGTATGTATGTGATTGTTTGTTTCCCGAGAAAACATACGAGAAATTTTTTATCGATAGCTGAACTCATTATAGCAAATGAACTATTATATCGAAGTTCAATGTGAAATATTTAGTTAAATGTAAATTAATGAATAATTGGATATTTCAAATTCTTTAAACGGAGGCTTTAAGTTATGTTAATTAATATAAGATTTAAAATATGTGAAACTGAAACGACTCCATACAAACTGGAGATTAAAAGCCTGATGATCGTTTTTTTTACTAAGCTTTTTCTTGGCAACAAAACATGATGTTAAAATTTGAAATTGAAAATTCAATCAAATAAATTTATTGTTCATTAGGTTCCCTAGAAAATAGGCCAGAAAATTTATCATTAACTGGACTCAGTGCAGGGAATGAACTCCATTATTAAGTTAAAAGTAATTTGAATATGTATTTAAATGTCAATTAATTAATAATCGGACATTTGAAATTCTTGACCGGAGGTTTAAAATTCTGTTTATGAATAGAAGATTCGAAGTTCGAATTGCTTTTAGCCGCGGTTAAATTTTGTGCATAACCAAGTAGCTGAACATTTTACTGCCTTTTCTCGGCAACCAAATAGGAGGTTAAAAGTTGAAAATGAAATGAGTTTTTATTTGCAGAGATAAGAGTGGTTGGTTTGAAGAGTCGAATAGAAGAGCTAAGATTGGAGTTAGAGGCGGCAAATGCGGAGCGAGAGGAGGCAAAGCGATTCAAAGAAACAATTGAGCAAGAGCTTAAAGGATACGAAGTTGAATTGGCGTTAAACGACAATTCGTTTCATGCCTTAGAGGTTTGCTTAGCTTTTATCAGTTCTGCATTTGACTAGATTTTGATTGGATTATTCATTTTTGGAGTTAATTACAGTCAAGGATTTCTTCAATACAAGATGATATTTCAGCCGTTGGATCTGATGTGGAGAATCTTAAGGTTCAAATTGGGCCGTGTCTTGTTCTTTTTGTTATTTATCAAATAAATATATTCTGTATTCTTCTGTTGATAATAATTTTTGTTTTTCCATTGATGGAAATTTATGCTCGGACTATTTAAAGAAAGAAGAAGCAGATTTACGGTAAAGATAGCTGCACAATTTTTTTTTCCAAGTTGAAATTCATAAAGAAAGGTGTACGTGGTTGATTTCTTCTTTTTTTTTTTTTTTTTTGTTGCTTTTATGCAGAGACGGGTTCATTAGCCAAATGTTAGAGTTCAACAATAAGATAAGGTGGGTCTTACTTATTTACTTCAAGTTACTTTTCTCTTCAAATTGGTTTTGTGGGTAGAGAGGTGCTTTACACTGTGGGCTTCTTTATGGTATTACACTAACAGTAATAACACTTCATTGAGATGTGGTTTCCTACTTCTGATGTTAGGTATCATTAATAAAAGGCTGTCAGTTTTCATGTGATCATCTAGATTCTGCAACAGCAATTGCATCTTATTTATAAGTTTCGTGTAATTACCAATCTGCAATTAAGTTCTTGGATTGTTGGCGTAGCTCATTTTTATGATTCTTTTTGAATGATCTTGACATTTCATAAAGACAGTTCGTTCTCAATTTAAATGATCTCCATGTGTGTGGTACTCTAATTTCAATTCTGTACTCTGGTGCTAAGTACCAGGAAACAACTGGAAAATAAATAATTTTTAAGCTAATCACTTGTTGTTATAGGGAATTCCATATGACAGTAGCTTGCAATTTTCGGAAAGATAATTGTCTTGGAACTGCAGCCGGTGATTTTCTCTATAATGCTATTCTACTTTTCTAATCATTGTATCTTGTAGCATATTGGCTTCTTATTTTATTTCATGGATAAATCTGGTCATCACCTAAAATGATCTAATTCATGGCATGAAATTCCTTTTAACTACAATTCAGAAGTAGACCACAATTTCAGCAAGAAGGAGGACACTGAAGTTGCTTTAGAAACTCTTGAGAATAAGCTGGCTGATATAGTTTCTCAAACAGCTAAAGCGGAGGAAGCACACCAAAAAGAGGGGAATATTAACAAGCAGGTAAATGTCGGTCCTCTGCACTTGAAAAGCACAAATACAATGCATCTTTCAAAAGGTTAAAAGGTCATGAAATTTATCCTTGAAATTGAGTCCTGAATTGATCAAAATGCAATGGGGACCCCGCAGGTCCAGCTGGAGCTGGCTGATTTTGAAAGGAAGGTGTCTTTGATGGAGGCGATAGTGACCGAAACAAAAGCATTGCAGGAATTAACAAGATATCCTTATTAAACCTAAAGTAGCTCTACAAACTGAATGGTTATGATTTTAGCATACTGTCTTCTTGGTATTAATTTAAGGTTAATGATTTCAGGGACTGGTACAGCACACACAATCCTTTCATTTTGAGGAAAAAAAAATGACCTCTAGAATTTCATCTTTCAGAAAACTTCCATATTCAGAAACAATTCTTATGGGTTGAAAGTTTAGGTTATTATAGAAAAAAAAAATTACGCTAGTTTTTTATCTGCTTTGTTATCAAGATAGAGCAAAAGAAGCCTGTAGCTACCGTATCTTAAAATGACAGTTGAAATTTCTTGATCTATCATTATATTGAATTATTAAAAAGAAGAAGAAAAAAAAAAAAAAAAAAAACCTCATTTACATTTGATGCTTTCTTTCCTCCTAATATTTATTAAAACAACTATAAAGATAAACCTCTTTACTTCAAATATGAGATAGCTAGCTTGCTTTTGTGGTCTTACATAAGTTGTATGAAGGTATTGCTCGAGGTAACGTGAAGTATATACTGAGAAACATTTATCTCCTTAACTAGTGACACGCAGACTTCTGAAATGGAGAAGACAATTGCTTCTCTCACTGAGGAGCTGCAAGAAAGGTGTATATGCCCCAGTTGCCACAGAGAGAATGTGGAGGCCCTTGGTGGTATACTTCATGCAAATCAGGAAAATTGATCATATGTAAGTATTTTACCTGCTAACGCTAGTTTTGAAGTGTTGAGATTACCTTGTCCTGCAAATAAGAACTTGCTTTATAGAGTCAATTTAGCGCAGAAGGTGAGAAAAAACTCACTTAACTGCTTTGAATAAGATTTTACATATTTTGAAGTTTCAAATAGACTGTTTAAGCTTAGTTCTCTTTTTATTTGAAAAAGTTCCATGCTTCAATTCTCTAGGAAATTCCTTGGTACTCTTTATTGAAGAGACATATATATCAAAGAATATTAATTACATTTATTCAATGATCGACTCTCTTTTCTATTTGTGGGGTCAAACTAAATGAGCAAATAATGAATCCCCAGCCATAACAGCAGGACAAAAGTAAAGTAATTTTAAAGAAAAAATAGTGTATCCCCACAGGCCAGCCTGCAACATCGTAATTAGCCAAAACCCATCTTTGTCCACTTTATCTGTTTTATTTACAGATTCTTGATATGTGTTGGTGATTCCATATCCTTTACTATCAATGATAACAATGTAGATTTCTCTTCTTCATCAGTCTTTTCTTGCCCCTGAAACAATGACCATGAGAATTTTAAGAATGAATAAGGTCATTAACCGACATTTCAGGAATAGTATTGTAGATTGTCAGATCTTACAGTCTGCTCAGGAATTATAATGCTAGGAAGAAGTGTGTGGATTTCAACCCCTCTTGAATTTGTAGACTTCATGACTTCCACCTGTGTAGAGAATAAGGCAGAGACTGGTCGATGATCTGAGAACTTACTTTCGCTTCGAAAATATGAGAGTTGTTTTACTCCTTTCCCATACCATAGAATTCTGTCACACCTGCCACCAGATCCATACATTATTCAGGACACATAATTACTTAATTAGACAACTTATGTGATTTGTTAGTAGTTTTAGTCATTTCTAGAGTAGGAAAATTGAGTAATTTTACCATGCTGGAGTCCTTTGCTTCTCTCCTGATCTGTTTGGAACTCCACCAGAGTACCGATTGCAATTCGAGGAAGAATACTTGTATGTAGGTGCAAATTCAATGTCTCCTTCTCTCCAACCTTGAAATACTCCATCTTCTTGTTCCCTGCGAAGCTGATCAAACTCTTGCAATGCTCTCCAGTCTTGTTTCTTTATCAGATGCCTAGCTAAGTTGTCTTCCAAGTACAGCCTATAGTTGAGATCCCCGAACCAGAATATTTGACTGTTCAACATAAAACATTAATCAGATAGGCTTAGAATTTTGAAATCTTTAGGTTGTTGAGGACCACTTACTCATGTCCTAAAATGGTGAGAGGATGTGGATTATCATCATCTTTAGGTGATCTAGGAAACGTAGTTCGCCGGAAAATCTCTGAGACTTGGTGATTTCTCCGGCCTTCATCGCCTTTCTTCTCACCAGAAGCTAAGTGTGCAGCTATGAAGCAAAAACTAGTTCCTTCAATTGACATGCTAACAGAAACCGAACCTTTGTTTCCCAAATACCCCATGATGCCACAAGCCACTGAGCAAACTTTCACATTTGAAATGCAATACTTTCTTAGCAATTCCTTCTTCATCCACACACTTATAAAGACTCCCACCATCTTCTTGCTCGCCATGAGCTTGTACTTGCTGCCTCCATAGAGCTGCTCATGCTGACTTCTTGACCAGTCTGTCATTGGAATCCCTCTAAGGCCGCTAAAACTTGCCCTCTGTTGAGATTCTTGAAAGCCATTGTAGTGGTAGTTGTCACTTGAGATTGGATTCAACGTGGGTGTCAACCAAGGGCATCCATATTTATTATTGAGCGTTTTCCCTATCAGTAAATTCCAATTTGTTGCTTCTGTTGGGTCTTCTGCTCCTATCACAGTTCGAGTCTTTAAGGGTACAATCTCTTGGAACCTGTTAGTCAGAAAAGTAGTTTAAAGTAGTGAGCATAAAATAACCTTTGAAGAATATAAGTACTTACCCAAGAACATAAATGTCCGCAGCATCCTTTAGATTTAGCCACTCATCCAAATCTACAGCCAAGCTCCCTACGGGAGATCTTCCAGCGACATTCCAAGTTCCCACAAAGATTCTGATTCAAAAACTAATGAAAATACATCAACCATCGAAACACAAAACACAAAACACAAAACAAACTTCTTCTTTTAAACTTCACCTTAACTCATTGCTTGAAGTGCATGGAGCCATCTCCATTGACCTAAAGTAACTATCTTCCATCTCATCACCCCCATCATCTTCACCACCATCTGCAAGAAGAGAAAAAAGAAAAGGTAATTGAAACCAAACACATTCACCAGCCATAACTAGGTAGCTATGAAAGAAGGATATGCAGGAGAAGCTAACCAGAAACTTCATTCAAATGATAAGGCACTGGTCTCTTGTGCTCCTTTTTAAACCACTTATAAAGCCTCATAGATCTTCGTCTCTCATTCCTGTTATCCATTAGTCAGTTACACTTTGCCCATGCAAAATTTGTTACCTTGAAGCATGGCTAGCTAGCTGCTTATTGTTTCATCAATGTCAACTGATCTAAACGTAGATTTTGCTGTAAAAGTCATTGTACAAATCGCCCATGTTAATTTACCAAAGTGATGAGGGTGAGAGAAAGAGACAAACCCAGAAGCTTAAACTAATGAAGCGATGATCCCGAGAGATATAGAGAACTGTATGTTTAGTCACAATAGAGCCTGCAGAGCATTGGTTGAAAAATGAAGAAGCTTCCCTGATCACATATCCCATCCTCTCCTCCATGTTAATTTCACGGTGTAATTTAATCAGTAGTGAATCGACAGGAAATCAAAAACGATATAGGCCTCACAAGCTTCTATCATTGTTTGATTATTAGAGATGGTAGGTGGAGGTAGTGCTGGTCACGTATGTCTTGTGGATTTTTACGTGACAACTACATCTCATGTACAAGTCAAACACCCTAATATGTAGAATTGGGTTAACTTAGGATGGTCCATTTGCAGTAGGACAACTTTGCATTCATCAGTCATCACACAATCATACCGTCAAATTTGAGTTTGATTAGAAGATCAAAAGATCAAATACTCTTCTTACGATAACACTTTTAGTCTAATAATTGGATTCAACCCAATAGATATTGTCCACATCAACTCAATTGAATAGACATTATCCGGATAAATTCTAGTATAATGGTTTGGACTCATTATTATCTGCTTGTGATAATCTTGGATTTGTTTTTGAGCTTCACACAATCATCCTTCATTCAAAACGCATATACTAACCCAAAGCTTATGTTGTTGGTTAATGAGTGTACATGAGAATTACTTAGTGGCTGTTCTTCTTCTGAATTAGCATGAGGAAAACTTTTGATTCATCAACTAATCATACGGTTAGTTATAACTGATGGGATTGTGTTTGATTAGAAGATGAAGAGATCTAGTACTCTTCGTACTGTTTCTTTCATTGTCTTGGTTTAAATACTTAAGAGTAATATTATACATACATAATTTTCATACAACATTATGTGGCAAGATATGATTGGCTAATTTAAAGTTAAAATTAAACTTTCATCCAATTATATCTTGTCACATAATGTTGTATAAGAAATATTGTATGAAAATGATATATGTATAGTATTATTAATTACTTAATAATGGGTGTAGAAGAGAAGTCTTTGCGGCCACAAGAGTCTCCTAATCAGTCCAAGTTGTATAGATCATGTGGCCCAGCTCAGTTATTGTATCTACCAGTTTGTGTGTGGGGAATTTGTACTCGTCCAAGAACATAATTTTATAGTGCTGTTAATTTAGACTTCTTTTATCTTTAACCCCAAAATTTTAGAGACATCTATGGATGATTTCGTTTGTGGTTCAAGTATGATTGTTGTTTTGTGCAAATTAACAGTCCAAACAAGATGTACTTAAAATTTTATAGAAAATTGTATTTGAAAATTGCGTTCAGAAACATTTTTATCAAAGTTGTTTTCAAGTAAAATTTGTGGGCAATCTTATGAAAATAGGTTTGGTAGAGATGACTCAAAATGCTATCAAAAACAATTTTTAGATGCAATCCTAAAAATTAGTCTAAAATTAGAAAATAATTAAAAGTCGTTTTCTTTAGTTATTTCATCTGAAAACAGTTTTTGAATATTGTATCAAATAAATGTTCAAATATTAAGTAAATTAAGATTCAATTAAAAAATTTGAATCATATTTTAGCTTTTGAAAATTATTTTTAGATAAAAAATCAAATCAGTTTATACCCTTTTAAATCTCAGACGAAAACTATCTCTTCTTTGTTTAAATCTTGATAATAGATATTAATATATTATGTAAGTATGATAGAAATTTCTTTGTAGTATAATTAAATCATGGTCATTAATTATATATATATTTTTTTTTAAGTTTTTACATATGAAGAATCATTTGGGATTCAATTTAAAAGAGTAACTAGTGTCACGGGCTGGGAGTTTCACACCCAAAAGGTTAACCTATTAGGTGGAGGGACTCCTCCCATTTATAAGCCCAAGACCTCCTCAATACACTTTCAATGTGGGATTTGTTACATTCTTCCCCACCTAATCCTGTGACGCCCTCGTCACAGGTGGGGCCCCCTGCCTGCCCATCCACCTCACTCTCGTGTGGACCCACAATCACACGTGGACGCCCCTGCGTGGAAGCTTGGTAGGACATCGAAAGACGGATTGGGTCTGCTCTGATACCATTTGTCACGGACTGGGAGTTTCACACCCAAAAGGTTAACCTATTAGGTGGAGGGACTCCTCCCATTTATAAGCCCAAGACCTCTTCAATACACTTTCAATGTGGGATTTGTTACACTAGGCCTACTTTGTTAAGGTGAGGCCACGAAAGACCCCAACATTAATTTTGTCCAAACAATTTTATGAGTCATTCTCGTGCTCTAATTCTTTAATAATGGAGCGTCACTAACATCTTTGATAGTATCAATAAGACTTGTGGTGCACTAAAAAGGTGAAAATGTATAAATTTATTAGCCGATAATAAGAAGAAGGATATATTTATTTATTTAAGGGAAGATGCTTGGGACATGGCATTACTTTTTTAGTTTATTTATTTATAAATTATTGAGCATATAATAACATAATAGGGATAATAGCTGGCTTGGCTTGTAGCTTTCAATAGGTTGTGACATTCTGCTAACGAGAAGTGGATGAGATTGTACTCTTTGTAGTTATCTATCCATTTCCACTATTTATGACTTTAATGAAGCCTTTACCCACTTTCGTCATTTTACTTGGACTTTACATCAGTTGGGTCATTATTTTTTTATTAAATATCACCCACTTTCCTCAATTTACTTGGACTTTACCTCCATTGGGTCATTTTTTTAATTAAATAGTATATATCTTAAATGATATTTATATGTAATTGATGATTTAATAATATGGTAAATGATATATCGACCTTACGTGGATAGTCTAAATGATTAGGGTGAATTAAGGATAGTGTAAATAGAATCTCAGGTTGGATTCTTTTTAAAGCGGAGACTGTGACGTTGACGGTGACCTGATACGCTAATCTCCCCCATAGTTTAGCAAGTTTAGCCTTGTTTAGAGTGTTTGTTATATGTAAGCTTTCTTATACGGGGCTTTGATATATTTTTCTGTTGTTTAGCTAAGTGATAAGTAGGTCTTAAATAGGTCAAATATTATCTTTAAGTTTAGCAAGTTTAGCCTTGGTTAGAGTGTTTGTTTTATTTAAGCTGTCTTATATGGGGCTTTGATATATTTTTCTGTTGTTTAGCAAAGTGATAAGTAAGTCTTAAATAGGTCAAAAATTATCTTTCATAAGACCCCCCCTAAAAATTTAAAAAAAAAAAAAAATACAAACTTTAATAATGTGACAGAATTTTGAAGGGAAAGACACATCTACATTTATATCTCTCCAATAACTTTAGAAAAGATCATGATGTTGCATATTTTGCTTTAGAATAGAATATAATATAAACACCATGCTAATCTCTTTCTTTGTGATAAAGCTTTCATGGTCAAGAGATCACATAGAAAAGCCTCAAAGGCTTCTAAGGTTTTGAATTTCCCAGCTGGGTTCTGATTCTTTATACAATTTTGTGGACTAACAGTTCTTACTTATGCTCTGCTTGATGTTTATGGAGTCCTGTTCTTGTTCATGCTGCTGCACTTAATCCCTCAAAATTTGGAGTATTAAATGAAAACAGAGGTTATATTTGCCTCAATTGTTCTTTGATTAATCCTTTGCTTTAGAAAAAGAGTCTGCAAATAGAGAGAATGCAAGACATACTTGAACTAAAGAAGAAAAACAAAATTACAAAATCTGCTCCAAAAATTTTGGACCAAAATTACAATATCAAAAGCAAAATCTCAATATATACTAGTAATAAATTGAAGTTTCATGTCAATTAGACCTCTTCTCTTATGTAAGTTGATGGAATTTTCAGCTTTTTTTTGCCTGGAAAAAAACCTTTAGTCTCTGCCTTTTCTTGCATCTAAAATTAAATGTTGCCTAAATGTTGCAATGAAAGCTTCAACTCTCTCATTCAACTCCTCCTTTGAAAGCCTTGGACCCTCTTCTCAATCATCTTCAACAACAATACCCTCTTGTTCATTTTCATTCAATCTCTCAGCTTCAAGAACTTCAACACATTCTTGTTTATGGCTTCTCATACTCTCAATCTTCACCTTCACCTTCACATTGTCGCTCATTTCTTCAACATTTTCACACCCACCACACTGTTTCTTGCTCTTCACATTGCCATGGCTTTCTAGGGCTTGTTCATCCCTTGAAGTTGAGTGCACTGAAGTGAAGAAAATCGCCAGGAGTACAAGATTGAGAACAAGGAACACCCACAAACGCCATTGCTCAATCAGAATCAACATTATAGCTTTCTTTAAACATGCCATTAGAAGAGCAGTTCCTGCTGTGAACAAAACTGTATATATCTCCTTTGCTTCTCTCTTGTTACACTCTTTCTTTACCTCCATTTCTACTGAAAATTTTTCTCTTTCTTGGAAGTGGTGAGAGGAAGAGACTTCATTAGGGTTGTTTATATGGTTCATTTTTTGGTGGGTTTTGTTTTGTGTGAGGGTCCACAGTGAGGAACCAGCTGTGATGATCAGAGAACAAAAAAATGAAAAAGCTGAGAGCTTAGAGTGATGAGATGAGAATGAAGGTGATAGGGGAGACAAAAAGACATAAATATTACAACTTCATTATTACAGTTGCCATATGATTGCTACAACAAAGGATTTAGCTTTGTAGGTTTGCATATGTTTGGTCTTGGCATGCTGTCTTTGGGTGGTTAAATTGTACATTACACTCTTTTTTATTATTATTATTATTTTTTATTTTTTATTTTTTTGATAATCGGAGTGTCTAAACCAGTTTATATGTAGTTTAAGTAATCATCTAGGGTCCTAAAATTAATGACCTAATAATCCTCAAGTGATCACCCTTATTAGCAACCGAGGCGAATGTACTCAAGACTTCTTAAGTAATACACCCAAGAGTCCTAGACAGTGCCAGAGTTTATGCATTTGGAAACTATATGTTTTATATTCTCTTGGGGAAGCTATGGTAATGTGGTGTCTAGGCAAGAAAGAAGATTGAAATGTGAAGATTAAAGCAATGATTTACACATGAAAAATGTAAGCAATGGGCTAGAGAGGATTAAGCTCTTTTTCATAAATGCGTGCAAACTGCAAAGTAGGGGCATAGCTAGTTTCAAAAAAAGTGAAACAAAAACGCATGCTTTTGAAGAAAGCAGAGGCAGAGGCAGAGGCAGAACACAAAAAGTGCTTTCTGGATGGTCAGTGCTTAATGGGTAGCAGGTTTTTGCCGGAAGAAGCAGAGCCAATTGAAAGAAACGTGACGGTCAAAAGGCACGCCTTCTTTAGACTCTATCATCAGAACCGGACCCACTTTGTCATTTGGATCAAAGGGAATTTTAGAGTTTCTTATGAGTTATGACACAACAAATGTGAAAGCATGATGGATTACACCGGTACCCCTGGTGGGGGTCAACTTAAATTATCCCGGTAACAGTACATTACCCAGGTAACAATACATGATCCTAGAATTGACAATCTTCCCAAATTGAAATATTTTATACAATGAATGATGGATTATACCGGTACTCTTCTTGGGGGTAATAACAATACATGATCCAAGAATGGTAAACTCAACTTACCCAGGTGACATTACATGATCCTAGAATTGACAATCTTCTCAAATTGAAATATTTTATACAATGAATGATGGGATTATACCGGTACCCTTGTTGGGGATAACGGTACATGATCCAAGAATGGTAAAACTTAATTTACCCAAGTAACATTACATGATCCTAGAGTTGACAATCTTACCAAATCGATGTCTATTATAGAATGAATAATTGAATGTACGTATCACACATGTTGAATTTGATATTTCATAATTAATTAGTTAATTATATTGTTTATATTATTATATATTGTTGACGCTTGATTTGGACGTCAACGACTTGTATGTGAGAAGCGTTAAGCGGACTTAGGAATCACACGTGATGGATCTATGAGATTTGAATATGGAGCTGAGATTATATATGTTGCAGAAAACATAAATAAAAGATTGGCAAGAGGGGTTTTTATAGTAGTTCGGATGCAACAAACGACTCCTACATTCACTGTTATTTTATTGATCCCTAACTATTTCTATGATTTTGCCCGTAAGGTATACAAAGATGAAGAAATACAGTGTTTACAGAGAGAGAATGAAATGAAGCTCAAATCTCAGTCTAGCCCCCTTCTTCGGGAAGAGGAGTGCTAATTTATACACTTAAACACTCAATGTAATGAGTGTTTTGCAAGTTGACTGGACACATGGAAGGTTCTCGTCCATTCATCTCTTTGAAATGAGATAAAGTTGATGTGAATATCTTTGAGGAGATATGGGCTTGGCAGCACATTTATTAGGCTGACATAAGCGTGACTTTTGAGGCATAACATATATACATTTATTTTACGAGGTCTTGTTCATTATGAAACGTTATGAAACTAGTATACGTAATCAAGTTTATATTTCTAAATTACAGTATTATATTATATATATAACATTACCCCTTGTATTTAACCGTTAAACTAGTGTTCCTGTGGCCTCACTAATTTTTGCGCATTGTATTGCCACTCCCTTTAACAACATCCACTAATTCAAAGCTTAATTTGAAAGCCGTATTTTGACCTGAATCAATGTTTTAAAACCCGATCCGGCCTGACCGGTTTAACCGGTTCAACTAAGACCTGGAAGCTTTAACGAGTCAGGTTTATATTTTTTCTATTCACCTAAAACCCTAGGATTTGGGAGAATGATCGGCAAATAATGGATGTTGGGGCTTTTGAAGAGAAAGTGCCAGTGAATGCAATGGTGGTAACGGAGTTGATTTCCGGTGAGTAAATCAACTGAAAATCAAACAAAACTGGCAGTGACAACAATCGGCTTTTACCGACGATTGGTGAGGCTAATGGGGGTGGGGTGAGGTGGGTTTTGGTTGGGAGAAAGAGGGGAGTAATTTATAGGTGATAGGGAGGGTTGTCGATGCCGACGTCGATGAGATCTGGCCTAGAATGCCAACGCCGACGTTGATGAGATCTATCTTGGGTATATTTTAAAGGGAATTGGCTCAAGGGACGATTCGGGTTGCATCCGGGGTGTCGCCGCCGCCAACCAGTCGCTGACCGATTTGCATTTGAGGTGTGTTTGTTAAATTTCAAACCTATAGAGATTTAACTGTAATTTTTAGGGATATATTTGCTGAATCTTAGAAGTTTTTGTCAACTGGTTTGACCGCCGATCAAACCGATTAAACCGGTCAACCTGGGACTTGATAACTTTACCAGGTTTCACCCCAGATTGAGTTTTAAAACATTAACCCAAACATTTTCGAGATGCCCCTAATAACCAATGAACCACAAGTGTTTTCCTTGTACAGATCCTATTTCAATGGAAACTTAATGAGTCGATCCACCGACAAGTCTTGCTTTTATGTGTATTGCTTGACGTAAAATAGTGGATTTTTCCAGTTAGTTAATTTGATTAATGGTATTCAGTTATGTTACTTTCAATGACCTAACGACACCGTTTTTTTTCACACTTTATTTTCTAATGTGAATGCCATGAGGCGCATGACCCAGTAAAATTGAGAACATCCCAGTAGTAAAAATTGTTAAATATAGTACACAAAAATAAACCTCTAAAGCCTCATCTAGAGTTATATAAACATAATGCCGCCATTTTAAACTGGTTATTACATAATTATTGGGGTTTCTACTTTCTACTTTCTATTCTAATTGTTGGCCAATCTAACCAAGCCAACTAGAAACTATCACAGATTATATAAATTTTCTAACTAGGAAGATCAACTCGGCAGATAATATATCAGGCAGATAATATATCAGAATGTAACGGAAATGGAGGAAATTTCCAAGTGAAATGTAGATGCATTTACTGGTTATATTTTCTCTCTCGTATTATGCAGCTTGCAGTTGCGTGTCGGGTTAAGGCGTTTTCTCAAGAACCTGAAGAGGTGAGTTGTTTGGGACCTTTGNTTTAAACTGGTTATTACATAATTATTGGGGATTCTACTTTCTAATTTCTATTCTAATTGTTGGCAAATCTAACCAAGCCAACTAGAAACTATCACAGATTATATAAATTTTCTAACTAGGAAGATCAACTCGGCAGATAATATATCAGGCAGATAATATATCAGAATGTAACGGAAATGGAGGAAATTTCCAAGTGAAATGTAGATGCATTTACTGGTTATATTTTCTCTCATATTATGCAGCTTGCTGTTGCGTGTCGGGTTAAGGCGTTTTCTCAAGAACCTGAAGAGGTGAGTTGTTTGGGACCTTTGATTGCTCATGATGTCCGACAATCAGCTTCACGGTCACCATCTTCTACCGGACAAAGATATGAGCTGCGCAAAAGATAGATGAAGAAAAACGAGATTAGGAGATAGTTTGATCATTTTGAAAGATGCACATTAAAGAAAGAAAAATGAAATGTGGAATCAAAAATAAAAATATAATTATCTGCGATATTGTTCTTGTTCCACTAGTTCAAAAGAATGTGACATAACCTCAGCAATGTTCAGCTTTCATGCATGTTATTCTTTTTGATGAATTCAGCGGAATAAATGGGAATAAAAAATTAAGAAAAAAGACCAACCTGGCGGGCAACCTGAGCCAGTCGCCTACTGTCTCTAGAAGATTCATTGATCAAGCTAGATTTCTGAGGCTCCAGTGCATCATTTTGTTTCTCTGCAGCCCTCCTCTTCACAATGCTCTTTTCAGGAGAAGTGTGCACATCAGAGTTGTTCATGGACTCTTTCTTGCGCTTCCTCTGGAAAGTGTATTTAAGAAACTTACTGCTATCTGATTTAGAAGGAGATTCATTAGTTTCTATAGATAATTTGGCATCTTTGGAGTCAGAAAGTACAGGTGATTCATTAAGCATCTCAGGGCTCATCTCAGAGCATGTAACCATTGAATTTTCTATGGCATCACCTTCTGGTTGTACCAATGCAGGCTTATTTCTCAGCTCCTTGTCCTTGTCAAAAGCATCCGGAACATGTCTGGATTTAGTAACTGCCTTAACACTCACAGAAAAATTAGTTGATCCAGATACAGGATCCGCACCCCTTCTAATTAATGTCAATCCTGGATCCAATCGAGGCAATGGCTTCATCTTAGCTTCATTTTCAGCTATCTTTGATCCATCTTCACCAGATTTAACAGTACCACGTAAAGCAAATGAATAAACAATGCCACGGTTAACTGCAGAAGATGTCTCCAAAGGTTTAATGAGCTGATCACAAGGAGACACAAATGAGGTAGAAGGGCCATCCCTACTCTGCGATTTCACATTTCTTTTCCATTCGCAAATGATTTCATCATCATTAAAGCTACCCTTATGCTGCATTTTTTCATCCAGGCCACTAGAGTTTTTCACATTACTCACATTGCCAGCCTTGACAGAAGACAGTGATCTAATGTTCCCATTGACTGAGTATGTTTTGCAATGTGAAGGAACGGAAGAAAAGTGACAGGGTTTCATGGGCTGACCAGCATGAGACCTGTGTAGATTACCTTTGGCTTTACCAAACCTAGTCCTTCTTCTTCGTACAGTACGGACCTTCATAGGTTTCTTTGGTTCTCCTCCAGGAAATTTCTTTGTAATGTTAATGTTTTTGGACTTAGGAGAAGGTATGGGACGTTTTTCTTCATGCTTATCACTTGTCTCAATAATCAGCTCATTGTTTATGAGGGAATGTTGATCGTCTACATATCCCAAAGTAGGCAGGTTCTCAGTCAACAAGTTTCTTTCAAGTGCACGAATTCTCTGAGTACATCCATTTTTGTATAGCTCAGGTTCCTTGTTTCTCACAATTATGGAGGCTAAGTTGGACTTTTGATTGTCATAGTTCTCCAACTGAGAAACACTTAGATTCTCAGTTTGTTGAGTTCCACTGCAGGACATATTATCCAAAATTTGTTGATTCAATGGATTCTCCACGTCAGAAGCAGTCACAGTCGCAAATCCTGAGCTCAAAATAGAGGGAAGAGATGGCTCAACTGTCACATTTTCATGACAATACATATCTACCTCCGTGAATTGTCCATTCAGAGGCTTTTGATTACTTTTCACTCTCTCCAATTTATCTCTAACCCATTTCAATTCTGATCTGAGATCTGTTATAACATCCTCAGCCTCACAGAGTTGTGCTTCAAGCTCATCAATCTTTCTTTGTTTGGTCGAGGATGTTATCTCTGCTTCCTTTGTCTGTAAAGAAATAAACAATGTTTAGTTCATTTCATTATTCATGTTCACCAATGCACCAATGCACCCATGCTAACTTTACTTTTCTTTTGGCAAAGTTGCCCCTTAACCAAATACAAAAGTTGCCCTTTTTTTAATCCAAAGGAAAAATGCAAATCTGACCACAAGAGAAGCATCCATTTTGTTTTCTGATATCAACAAAATCACTAGAGTATGACAAACAACACAAAGAATTAGAATAACATCAACATCTAATCTCATATATCGCATGTACAACGAAACTAAATGAACCACATTGTCATCATACTGGGTTACACTCTCAAATGGGAAGGAATGATATAATCAATGTCCACCACAAAATGATGCCACAAGAACATTATTGTAGTTCATATGATAGTGACTTATCACGATTGTTGGATTATAAATTTGAATGAAATAACTTAGATTCCAGTTGTAGCTTCAGACAGCTCAACAGATTTAAAAAATTTGGAAACTTTCACATTGTTCTTCAATCCTTCACCTTTCAAAAATAAATAAACAGACGCATGAAAGTAGATTCGAGAACAGCACTCTCCGACTGCCACTCTCTAGCGCAACTAAGAATTCAAAATAAAAAGAAACAAACAGAAGCAACAACTCCAAGTCTCATTCATCAAATGTCCAAATCACATAACAGAACGAAGAATTTGAATCTAATTATCCAAAAACAACGGTTAATTTTCAAACTTAATTCACTTCCAAAGAATTTGAATCTCCAACTCGAAACTAAATAACTTGCTAGAAATATAACAGTTTCAGCTTATCATTTCACTATTAAGAGCTTATTTAAACTTGTGAATTTAAAACAGAAGCCAAACTATTACTACTGGCAATTGTTTTCTTAATTTTTAATTTTATTTTTGTCAAAATGTTACCTTAGAGTCGATCATCTGTTTCAAACGCACAAGAAGATGAAGCGCCTCGTCTTTGGTTCGATTCAGATCCATCTCAAAATGCACCGCTTTGCGCTCCGACATCATCACTGTCGCTGCCGCCTCCTTGGCGGTGTTCAAAATTATGTCCGCGTACGCCTTCTTCAACGCCACCATTTTCTAACAAAAACAAAAACAAAAAAAATAAAAAAAAAATTCAAAATCAAAATCAAAACATAAAAAAAAAAAAAAAAATCAACGAAAACACAAAAAAACATTTTCGAAAATCAAACCGCAAACCTGTGGTTCTTCCATGAAGGGTTTTAGCAAGAAGAAGAAATTTGTTAACAGACCGTATCGGTTAAGAACTGAAAGGTGTGCTGTGAGATGAAACGACGAGATTGCCCCTGAAATTGAGTTTGAATTACGGAGAAAATGTGTCTGTTAGGAGGCGTGGGGTCCAGTGTGGAAAAGAAAGCTCTGGTTGAGGGGTTAAACGGTGTCGTGTAGGAGGATGCATTTGGGCGCGCAACTAAAAGTGGGGGCCTACGTGGAGGGTTGTATTTTAAATTGAATTAATTAAAGTGGGGGTGTGTTTGTGAAGGCGAAGGCGCGGTTTTGTCATTATATTCAAGTTTTAAATTTTGAAATGTCATGATCAATTATCATCCAATTTTCATGTTAGTTATTAACGTATATAATTAATTTCCTTTTATCTCTTTACTTTTTTTTTTTTTTTATTGCTAAAGTTTACATTATAATATTGAAAATTATTTGAAAATTTGGATGTGATATTATGATTTAAAAGTTATATATATGTGTGTGTGTGTGAATCAGAAAATATTGGGTAAAGTCAATCAAAGTGTTGGATAAGTAACCATTCTATAGTAAGTGGAGTAGTTATGAACACTATAAACAATCCCATGAGAGTGGTGAAGGAAGAGCTCTAATTTAGGGTTGCAATCAAATGAGCTGAGCCGAGAATTGAGAAGCTCGAGCTTGGCTTGGCTAGAATAGTTGAAGCTCAAGCTCGGCTTAGTTGGAATAGTCGAAGCTCGAGCTTGACCGAACTTCAATTGTCAAGTATGATAGATGTATGTTCGGCTTGAGTTTGACCAATTATAATCAAGTCAAAATTGAGTTTGAGCTCAACTTGGTTGAAATGTGAAATGTGAATTAGGATGTTGGGGTTTAAAATTTTTAATTTATATATATAATATTAATATAAAATTAAAATATCATATAATATAATATAATATGTCGAGCTCACGTAAACTCGTGAATTCCTAGAGTCGAGTATTCTTAGACTTGAACTCGACTCAACAAGCAAGCTACTCGAGCACAAGCTCAACCTGACTCGTTTGCAGGTCTATTCCAATTGGTAGAAAAAGACCAGCAACCCCTTGAAGTTATCATACACTTGGGAGAAAAAGTAGAAAAATAAAAATAAAAATAAAAATACAGTGATAATTTGATTCTTCACCGCTGTAATAAATAGGAGAGAAAATCGAATTTCTTTCTTCCTTTTTACAATTTAAAAAAAAAAAAATGAGTTAATTAGTTAAAAAAAAAAAGAATCATTTTTGTAGTGAAACATTTATTAAAAAAATCGATAAGCTTAACACAAAAGTGGAAGAAGAAATAATAATAACACGTGTAACATTAAGATATAAATTAAATAACTATATACAACATGTTCCTATAGTTTTCACTTGATTAACTCAAATTTAACTGAAAATAATGAAGAGTTGTGCAATGGTCTAGAAATATCTGGTTGACTAGCTTCAGAATTTGTCTTATATTTTTGGATTATATTTCTTGTAGTATCAGAAAATAAGCAAAGTCATATTGTCATATTCTGCATTTGTTATCATACAAAACCCATTTGAACAATTTAATTATCATTTGTATTAGCTCAAAGTTCTTTATGCCCAACCATGGTCGGTCCAAATCCAAATTTTGTTCGAGGCTATCTGAAAATGTTTACAATATTGATCAGTTGTTCATATTCTGTATCATCATCATATGTTGATTACGACTTGAAGTGCCTGGAAGGTCTCAAGAGTTCTTTCAATGATCCTCAAGGGAAGCTAAGTTCCTGGAAATTTGAAAACCAGACAACTAACATATGCAAATTTTTAGGAGTCTCATGTTGGAATGAAGTGGATAATCGAATAATGAGGGTGGAACTTCTGTCAATGAAATTGTCAGGACAATTTCCAGAGTCTTTCAAGTATTGCCATAGCTTGCAAAGGTTGGATCTCTCTGGTAAAATCCCTGCTCAGTGAATTCCTGCTTTCTTAAGTGGAGTCAACTCTCCAGATAGTACTGGAGTTTGTTCAGGGCGATTAGGATACGAATGTGATGTAATGAGGAAGATGAAAGCATTTTTTGTTTCTGCAGGAGTGGCTGGTGCCATGGCATTGTTGCTGTCAGGTTTTGGGCTCTGGTGGTGGTAACATTGGAGAAGGGTTAAAAGAATGAAGAAAGGGGATGGAATTGAAAGAGAAGATTGTTGTTTCTGGGTTCAGAGGTTGAGGGATCACAAGCTTGTTCAAGTTTCATTGTTCCAGGAGCCGCTTGTTAAACTCAAATTAGCTGATCTAACAGAGGCTGCAAATATTTTTGTTTCTGAAAAAGTTATAATTTATGTCCTGACAGGAACTACATACAAAGCTGAGCTTCCTGGTGGATCCATGCTCGCGATCAAGAGGCTGAGTGGTTGTAAACTTGGGGAGAATGGCTTTTGTTCAGAGATGAATCAGCTAAAACAGCTCAGGCATCCGAATTTGGCACCCCTTTTGGGGTATTCTGTTGTCCAGGAAGAGAAGCTGTTGATCTACAAGTACTTTTGCAATGGAACTTTACATTCTTTGTTACATGGAAGAAGCATTGAACAAGATTGGCCAACTACATTGAAGATTGGTTTTGGTGCAACCAGAGGCCTAGATTGGCTTCACTGTAATTTCCAGGCTCCATGCCTGCACCAGAACATTTGCTCGAAAGTGATTGTTTCGATGCCAGAATAACAGATTTCAGATTGGCCAAGTGGGGAATTTGGTTACTATCCTCCAGAATGCACAAGCGATATGGTTGCTTCACTGGAGGAAGATGTGTATGGATTTGGGATGGTGCTTCTGGAATTGGTTACAGGGCAAAAGCCAGTAGAAATTAGTACTTATGAACAAGGATTCGAGGAAACTTCTCGTACCCATCTCAAATAGTGGGGCTCAGAGCGCGCGTTTCCCAGATCCGAAAAACGAGTCAGAAGTATCAACTCAGCTACTAGTGAATTGGGTCAACCAGCTCTCTAGTTGTGGCAGAATCAAAGATGTTATAGACAAGGCTCTTTGTGGAAGGGAATATGATGAGGAAATTTTGCAGGTTTTGGAAATTGCATGTAATTGTGTGGTTACCAGGCCTGAAAAAAGATTGTCTATGGGCCAAGTTTATCAGTCACTTTTGTGATGAAATGAATCAATTTTCCAATAATATCTTACTAAGATACGATGATTTATAATTATACAGTTGTTCTATCATTTATACTATATTTGTCCAGATGTATATTTGTCTAATAAAATCTCATCGTATATACATTGAAATTTTAGTAGAGAAATGTATAAATAACTTGATACTCTCGTGTCATCTAAGATTTTTTTTTTTTCTTCGGATATATATTTTTTTAGGCTCAAGCTATTGTGGTTGCATATACTGTGTTACCCACTAAAATTGTGGTGGAAGCACCCAGAAGAAGTCACTGTGTTATTCTTCTTGTGAGCTGGCCAAAATCCATTCAAGATATTCTTTGTGGAAAGTTACTTTCAATTGCAAAAACTATAGATTTTGATATAACTAAAGCTCCTTCTTAACTACCAATTTCATATTCATATTATCTTTTCTTGATTCCAAAGTTGTTTGACCACACCAAACCCTAAATTCTACCCATTTCCCCTTTTGGCCCAACATAAGATTATGACATTAAGGACAAATCACTAGCACTTTAATCAACTTTTAACCAACAAAAAGATAATTAAATTAAAATATATATCTATGCCATCATTCTTTTTGACATAGGCTATCATTCTTTTTTACATGTATTATAACATAAACGATTTATACGACTTTTAAGCTAACTTAATTGACTTATTTGACGTATCTAATTATTACCGTTTTAATCTATATGCGCCCACAATTTTCAGAAAAAAAAAAAAAAAACATAAAAACATATAATGATAGAAACTCTTGGATGTATTACTCAAAAGACTCTGAGTTCAATTCTCTTCGATTGTTAATAAGGGAGCCACTAGAGGATTATTCGATCGTTAACTTCAGGACCCCAATGACTAGTTGACGTACGCATAGACTATTGCCAAAAAAAAAAATATATATATTATTATTATTTGGCCCTCATGTTAATGGTCATGAAGGCATAAATCACCGAACAGAGACGCAAACCTTCCACTTTGAAAAGAGAAAGATAAGGGGCATTTTGGTAAATTGGGCATGCATATACCCAAATCCCAAAAACTTGATTTGGTTGGCCATCAAAAGCATAATCCCAATGGATAAATAAAATTAAAATAATCTCTAAGATAACCAAGATATTATAAAGCAATAAGCATATATATTATTTTTTTTAGTGCACACTTGCCCATTTTTCATGGCCCTTATCACTCCCAACTAAAATTCCCAGTCTCCAATCTGTGAATTCCTTTTTCATCCCTGTGATTGCAATTTACTACCGTTAAGAATACTTGTTTGAAATACTAACATTTTGATCCTTTGACTTGAAATACTGTTAGTTGACCGTTAATTGACTTAGAAATTATACTAAAATGACAAAAATACCCTTCTAATATAAATATAAAACGTAATACACAAACAACCACCGTCAGTGTAATATGTTTGAATTTACCTCAGTGTTGCTTATGTAATTATAATTCATTTTGCATTATATTTTAGAGAGGTGTTTTCTTTATTTCATATAACTTTCAAGTCAATTAACAGTCAACTAACAATCTGTCAAGTCAAAAAGGTTGAAATGCTAGTATTTCAAACAAGCGTCCTTGATTATAATAAACAAAAACCAGAGGGATGAAAAAGAACCTTCCTCTAAAACAATGCCTCTTAACAGTCAAAAATCTCTAATCATCAATCATACACTCACCATTGACCACTAATAAAAATAAGAAATAAAAGCACTTCCCACAAAAGCAAAAATCAAATAAAAAAAAATTGTAATATTCTCTGAATTTTCATTTTTCAACACACTTGTAACATGTTGAAGTCAACAATGCCCTTTCATTAGACCATTCCAAACACTTTTTTACGCGGAAACATTAGATTATATGTGATATTATTGTGACTTTTAGTTCACAAAATTTGATCATATTTTTTGGCCACCATGAGGGGTGTATGTGCAATGTTTTTAATAGTTTTGATGGCAACCCAGATGAGTTTTTCAGGTTTTGTATCATCAGCTGTTGCTGAAGATGATATTATGTGCCTGGAAGGTGTCAAGAAGTCGCTTAATGATCCTCAGGGGAAGCTCAGTTCATGGAGTTTTGCAAACTCTTCAATTGGTTTCATATGCAAGTTTGTTGGAGTTACATGTTGGAATGACAGAGAAAATCGGATACTAAATCTGGAGCTTCGAGAAATGACGCTGTCAGGACAAGTTCCCGAGTCTTTAAAGTACTGTCGAAGCATGCAAAAGTTGGATCTTTCAGCTAATAGTTTGTCTGGTACAATTCCTGCTCAAATTTGTACTTGGTTACCTTATATTGTCACTCTTGATCTTTCAAACAATGATTTTTCTGGTTCCATTCCTCCTGATCTTGGAAACTGTACTTATTTGAACAATTTGATTCTTTCAAATAATCATCTTTCAGGAAGTATACCATATGAGTTGTCTAAATTAAGTAGGCTTAAGAGATTTTCTATAGCTGATAATGAACTTTCAGGAACTGTTCCTTTTTATTTTGAGGGATTTGATAAGGGCGATTTTGGGGGAAATAACGGACTTTGCGGGAGACCTTTAGATAAGTGTGGTCAGTTGAGTAAGAAGAATCTTGCAATTATAATTGCTGCTGGCGTGTTTGGTGCTGCAGCTTCTTTATTGTTGGGTTTTGGGTTGTGGTGGTGGTACCATTTGAGATGGATTAGGAGAAGGAAGAGGAGGTATGGATTTGGAAGAGATGACGATAGTCGGTGGGCTGAGAAATTGAGGGCTCATAAGCTTGTTCAAGTTTCATTGTTTCAGAAACCACTTGTCAAGGTTAAATTAGCTGATTTAATGGCAGCTACAAACAATTTCAGTGCTGAAAATATTATAATTTCCACAAGGACTGGTACTACTTATAAGGCCATGCTTCCTGATGGGTCTGCACTTGCAGTGAAGCGTCTGAATACATGTAAACTTGGGGAGAAGCAGTTTCGTTCGGAGATGAATCGATTGGGACAGCTAAGGCATCCGAATCTGGCACCCCTTCTGGGATTTTGTGTTGTGGAAGATGAGAAGCTTTTGGTTTATAAGTACATGTCTAATGGAACTTTGTATTCGTTGTTGCATGGAAGTGGTACTGAAATGGATTGGCCAACTAGATTTAAGATCGGTTTGGGGGCTGCTAGAGGACTAGCTTGGCTTCACCATGGGTACCAGCCCCCAATTCTGCATCAGAACATATGCTCAAATGTGATTCTTGTTGATGAGGACTTCGATGCCAGGATAATGGATTTTGGATTGGCAAAGCTAATGACTTCCTCAGATGAGAGCAGTTTTGTCAATGGGGATTTGGGTGAATTAGGTTATATAGCTCCAGAGCTTCCTACCACTATGGTCGCTTCACTCAAAGGGGATGTATATGGATTTGGAGTTGTACTTCTGGAGTTGGTTACCGGGCAAAAACCACTTGAAGTTGGTACTGCTGCGGAAGGATCTAAGCTTAATTTGGTGGATAGGGTCACTCAGATTTCTACATCTGGTGGAATCAAGGATGCCGTTGACAAGGCCCTCTGTGGAAAGGGATATGATGAAGAAATTATGCAGTTTCTGAAAATTGCTTGCAGTTGTGTGGTTTCTAGGCCTAAGGACAGATGGTCTATGTACCAGGTTTACCAATCACTGGATAGCATTGCTGAGAAACATGGTTCCTCACAACGGTATGATGAATTTCCGCTCATTTTTGTCGGGCAAGATAATGAAACAGCATGAAGAAAGGAGAAGCATGGCAAAATTGTAACATTTTGTCACGCAGAAGTATACATCTTGTGGTAAGTTCTTAAAGGCTGTTGAAGTAAATGGTTCGATTTCCAATTCGTCTGCAATTCCTCATTTGTTATATATATAGCTGTATGATACAATAAACTTATCAAACTGTAGGTTCTTGAATGCTAAGAAATATATTTGTTTCGTTTGTATCATTGTGAACAGTTTCTGATTTTCCATCGTATTTTTGTATGCCCCTCCCCTGTTTGTACCCTCAAGAATTTTGATTTAAAAGAGGAATGAAGCTTGAATTGTAGTTCAAGCTGTATAAATATAACTCAAAAGAAAAAAAAAAAAAAACAGATTATTTATTTTGTTAAGGACCTCTATCATTTCCTTTTGTGTTTGGTGGGTTAGTATCCCATTCAACAGCTAGTTTGTTTTCCTCCATATGCTAATGCTACTCTTACTTTCTTCGCTTGATAAACGAGTTGCTGCCTACTCGTGCTCAACCGATGAAAGGGCTAGCCTCTTGCAACCCAAAAACTGCAAAAGGAAAGCAAATTCGAAAATTAGTTCAGTATTTGAGAAAGATGTTGCCTATGACATTAGAGACTGAAATTGAGAATTGAGCTTGATCAGTAAGAGCGAAACTCTATTCATTAGGTACTGAAGCATCTGCTCAGAAATCTGAGTTATGGTCTTTTTAAGCTGCAGATTTCATCATATCTTTTTTCTCTTAGATTTTCTATATGGTGAGTAGCATATATACGCGAATGAAATGAATCAAACTTTTTCTGCATCCTCGTATGCATAAATCCCCATGTATATGAGTGTTACCTTTGGGTAATGCTAATTTATTGACACCAGTATGTTCTGAGATACATACTATAGTGTTGGTGCCCTTGTTATCTGCTTTGCAACACAGAAATGTTTCAAACCATAGCTTCTTTGACCAAAAGTGATATTTAACCACACAAAGTATGAGCTGAATCAATGTTGATAAATTATTGGGAAACAATAGGCCAGAAGTTAAAGGTGATCTTGCCTTCTCAACTGATATCTTTTGACCTATTTTCTTGGTAAAGCAGCAGATCCAAAGCAAAGATTGACAGTGATTTTTGGGCTAGCAATCAAATAATTGTTCTACACATGACAGCACCAACAAGCATTTCACTGCATGTTTGGTGAACTTAAAAAATAACATAACTCTCTGCGACCAGGACTCTACTGCTGGATTGACTGTCACCTTCATGGACAGTCACGTTGATTATTCAAACCTTTTTTTTCCAAACCCACTACTAGCTTTGCTTAACTGTTTCTCTTTGAAGGTGACAGCACCAATTGGTGAACTTCAAAAATAACATAACTCTCTGCGACCAAGACTCTACTGCTGGATTGACTGTCACCTTCATGGACAGTCAAGTTGATTATTCCAAACCTTTATTTCCAAACCCACTAGTTTTGCTTAACTATTTCTCTTTGAAGCATTTTCCAAGTATGAATGGCGCATTCTAAACTAGAGACAAAAAGTAGAGGGGAACAACACCATTAAGTATGAATGGCACATTCTAAACTAGACACAAAAAGTAGAGGGGAACAACACCATTTGGCTGTTTACTTTTTAAGTCTTCCACATTGATTAAGAAATAACACATTCTTGATTCATCAATATTATCAAAATTCTATAACGTGTGGTCTTAACATATACCTTAAAACCCACGTTAAATTTTATAATTTTGTGGTCTTAACATATATCTCAAAATATATGTGAAGACCATTCATACGTCAGAAAATAAACATAAACTTTAGAATACACGTTAAGACTATTTAAACATTAGAAAAACTTTGTATCAAATTTCCCCAGAGGAAGCCCATTTGGGCTTAAATGGAACATAGCCAAATGAAGAACAGTCAAAATATCTAATGCAATAACAATGGCCTAAAATCTTGCATTTTTGTTCAATAGCAAGTCTGGGTTAAGTTGCATAGATGGGTTTAAAGAAGTAGAAAGCAAAAACAAAAGCATTTAATCTAAAATATAATCAACTGTTTGATAAATAACCACTTGAGAAGCACTTTATTACAAACAAAAAGCACTTTTACTCAAAAAAGGGTTTTCTAAAAAAATTTACAAGAAAAAAACTTTGAGCATAAATGTTTAACTTTAAAACGAAAAGAAGTGCACGAGATTGCAATATGTCTCCCATACCATGCAACAAAAAGCTCCATAAAATTTTACTTTGGACCAAGTCTTTGCTTGCTTCTCGAACCATTCAAAATCAAACCAGAAAAAGGAGCAAAAGAAAAGTGAAAGAAAAAGCAATCAACAGATATGGCTCTTCTCAATCTCTTTGCTTTGTTTTGTTTTTTTTTCACTTTGGAGAAACCATTACCCCCAAACAAAATCCTTCTTTGATTTTCCCTACATTATAAGAATCTCAATTTTCATAGAGGATTTCTTAACACATCATTTAGATGAAAAATGGGTGCTTTTGGTTCATTATTTTAGATAGGATTTTGGGAATAATATTAGGTAGTTGAATAAGGAATATTACGAGATAAAATTTAAAAATTTATAAAAAAGTCTTTACGTTACTAATTTAATTAAACACCCCAACATATAAAATGACAAAAATACCCTACCACCTGTAGTGCCAGATTTCGGCATCTACCGCCGGAATCTGACCGGAAAATCTCATTACAATACAGACCGGTCGGATCGGTCGTAACTCGTTGCTATAGCCTTTTCCGACCAGATTCACCACGAATCTGACCGGAAAAGGCCAGATCTACAGCCTGTATGGCAGTTGACGGCCGGAAAAAGCCAAAATGATGGCCATCTTTGACCGTCAGCGATGGCCAAGATATGGCCGTGTTTTCGGTCAACGATGGGCATTTCTTTGGTCGTCGTTGACGGCCAGATCGTGAATTACCGGCCAGTTCTGGTCGGTAATTCACGTTGTGGCAGATTAGCTACTACGACGGTGGTTGCCAGAATCTGTCAAGTATGGGTCACAGGGGTATTTTTGTATTTTTTAAACTTTTCTTTCAGGAGGTATTTAATAAAATTAATAACCTTATGGGGTTCTAAAAATAATTAAAAAATTAGATAATATTTCTGAAATAATATATCAAAAATTATTTGGGGAATAAGATTGGGAATATAGGTAAAAATAATTAACCAAACAGCCTAAGATACTATTAGGAAACATGTAGGATTCTTGTGTAATTAGACTACAATGCTGTAGAGTATATTATTGCAAAATCAACATGGGAAATTGTTTTAGAAGAATAATCTTGGTCTGGCAATGGGGTACTTTATAGAATGGAAGTTGCAGGCAATTATTTCTTTTATACAATTCGATAGGCACTTTTAAAATGTATATAATAAAACATATTTCGAGAATTGTGCAGCTTTAGTTGTTGGATTTTGCTTTACCTGGTCGTTGAGCACACGACAAGGCATGCCATCAGCATAAATTCAGAAAGCCAATCCAATAAATTAATCATAAAATTATAAATTTTTATCCATCCTAAAAACCTAACCTCACCTTCTTGGATTTTGATCCATTTTGATGTATTTGCTCCTTGATTTGAGGTTTTCATGCTAAGTTAGGCTAATATTAGTTGTTAAAACAGTTATTATAATCATTAATAAATTCTCTTACCAAGAAAAGTTATACGATACATTTCGGTAAATTCAATTGAATGATATCATCTGGTCAAATTCGATTCAATCAATTGGTATCGACATTTAGATTGAAATAAAGTTTAAATGATTGTTTTACTCTTGCTAATTTTTTGCTTTCATAGAAAGTGAAATCAAAATTCTATCCAAGAATCAAAATTCTATCCAAGAATCTCTCACAAAAGAATTGACAAGGGACAAGCAAATACTAGTGGGTCACCTTTAAAAGTTGTTTTTGTACTTATTTTCAATGTGCCGGGAAGCTGTTCAAGTTCTTTCAATACCCATGAATCATTTACAGTTTCATCCAGTCACTCAACTCATACACTAATAACACTTTAATCTTCCAAAACTTTTAACCAGTAATAAACTTTACAAGCTATATAAAAGATGGGGCATGCACAATCTGGTTACTAGCAATGGAAAAATGAAGAAACTTTGAGAACAGCCTCAAGCTCCCATTTGCAAATCTTTGCCATAACATGATTTTTTTGTGGAACACATCTTAAAATATAAAGCACTTAAAATATAAGAATTCTTGTACATTGTCTTTTGCAGAAGTTTGAAGCTTCTTTAATGGAATCCACAGTCAGATTCTGCCTGGTGGTTGTCTTGACTTTACTACTCTCCTGAAGGAACATTTCACCAGAAGATCAATGAGATAGATAGTTAATCAGTCACAACGAGATCATTTGATAATACTGACAAAAGACCCAAAAGTTTACAAGGACTTGATATCCATATCTCTCAGCATGGTAGAAATTTTCTTTATGATGTTTGTTTCGACTTCCCATTTTATCCTTAAACCAGAAAGTGCATTTCACAAAGTGGTTAGATCACACATTATTTGTAAAGTGGAAACCTTTTTCCAGAAAGGAGTTCCATTTTAGAGTATTATAAAGACTTTAAAGGTTCATTATGATGGTTGTTAATTTGTTAAGAGGAGATTAGTTACATGGCATAGTAGATTTTTCTGTGTGAATATTTGAATTTCAATATAAAGGAAAGAAAATATTTTCTTCCCTCCATCAACATATCTAAAGTGGTCAAGTGCTTTCCCCAATGTCTTTATTTCAACCTCATCAAAATAAGAGAAAGATTGATAGTTAAAGAGGCTTTAGTTAAAGACTAATGAGTAAAACCATTATCTGCTTCCATACAATTCAAATGAGTTTATAATGTCTCTTCTACTTGCTAGATATCATTTTATATATAAAATTGCAGTTGCATAGATATATTTTCTTTTTCTAATACACTAATGCCCCCACATGACCCCCCAAAAAAGAAAAGAACAAAGAGTTTCTTATTTTATCAAACAAGCTTGAGGATTTGCATAACCAAATTGAGAATGATAGACTCATTTGATGCATAAGCATCTGTTTTTAGCTTCTTTATCAGTTTATAACACATTAATATACAAGTTCAGTCATTGCAAATTGGACTACCGGTTGATAACTACTATCTTTCTCCTATTGTACTTTCTTTCGGCAAGATAATGGGAGTATATGTATATGTAAGTTAAATGAAAGGGAAATGTGTACCTATTGTGAATGGGATCAGGTCCATTTGGTACTCTTCTCTTGTTGACATAGTGGAGATCGAAGTCCTGATGAGTGTGAAGCTTCTCTGGTTGAATCAACTTCCAGTCCCTGAAATTTTCAGTTGACGGTACTGTCACTGTTGTGGTGGTGGTTGTGGTTGCATGGTTTGCTAAGATTCCAATAAACAAAAGCCAAATGATCCCAAACAATACAACAGCCCCTAAACAAACTCTCAAACCCCAGCTGCCACTCCTCATTTCTCCAACTGGCTTGTTAATTCCTACAAGCTCTTGACGAAGCATAATGGCTGGACATTCAAAGCATAGAACAAGGAACTCAAAACCATGCTGGTGTTGAGAGGATTGAAATGTATATAAAGATATTAAATAAGGAGTTAAAAAAAGAAGAGAAAAGATGAGAAGAGAAAGCTTGGACAAGACAAGTATCTTAGATGTTTTAACTTGGCGGGTAAGGAGTTATTGGTTGTATTTAAAGGTAGGAAGAATAGAAGCAACAGTATTGAGAGAAAGAAAGAGAGAGAGAAGCATGACCAATAAAACAGAAAAGTTTGTTACCCTTGTTGCTTTATATGTTAACTGGGCCCATTTGAGCTCCCTTTGTTGGCTTTGGTTTGTGCATTTTCATGCAGTGATAATTAGGGGACCTCACTCTCTCCCCTAACTCTAATGAAATATAAGCTTTCCACAAACATAGGGCCTTGTGCCAATATGGAACAATTAGGAGAGAAGAAGTGCCAATTCATGGCACAACTTAAGAGATAGATAAATCTTGATTACTCAATCAAAACTTGCCAGAATACACGAGCTTCTTTCTCCAGGCACAGTTACAACTAATGGACAAATGCACCAGCCTATCAAAGCAAAAAGAATCAAATATATGTATATGTATATATTCAAAGAGATGTTTTGGACAAACTAACAGAAACGAAGGACTCCATCAATGACCTTGATAATAATACAACAATTATTGGATGGAAAAAAGCATATATCAGCTTTGCTTGGAGTCACAGATCTCTTGCTGCAGTAACATTTTGGCTAAGGTTTAACCAAAATGCATAGAAAACTGTTGCAGGCAATTTGTCAAAGGATGCATTCAGACAGGCTCCACGAGTCCCACCAAGGAAAAAGAAAAAAAAAACAAAACACTTTAGAAACTGCAATCAGAGCTAACGGTTAAGAGTTTCTTGCTCTCTGGAGTTTTTCAAGTCACAGGGATACTGTGACAATAATTGTTAGTGGTCCCCTAGTTTAGCACATAAAAAATGGACCACAGTATCATGGATAATATAATAGACCATTCATCATTTAGGGTATTCTATTGACATTCCCACATCAAAGATAATTTTTTCAAGTTGCCGAATACTACCTCAACAATCTTTGTACGACACAAATGTACATGAGTGCAAGAATGGTTTCCATACCATTCAGAAAAAGAGGAGCTCATGACACTCTCAACAAATCCTATTGTTATCTAAGAATCCGGAAAAAGTTTTCAAAGTTTTCAAAGGAATAATTTATTTACAAAATCAATGTACCAAGATGCAGAATCACACCAAGATATATGAAATGAAAGTCACAAGATAATTAATAGCACACGGTTGAGCAACCACAAGATGAGTGGCTCTGCATAATCTTCAAAAAGTACCAAAACTTCTTATATTGATTTTCATGACAAGGTGGATTACAGAGCAATAGACCAAGTAGACACTTTATTATTAATAATAAAACTCATTAGTAATGCCCTGGCATCACAATAGAACTTTCAGAAAGTGGTAGCCGGAGGAGATGATCCACCAATAGCCAAGTGGTTGAGCAGGCTATAGAATCCAGAAGCATATAGCAAAGTACACAGAACAACTTGAAAACACCAAACAAATGAATAGCTCACTGTGCAAGAACAAAATACTAGCAGTAGCTGTGCACATATGGTCAATCACAAAAACATTTTTTTGTCTCCCCAGTGGTTGAACAGAAAGTCACTCACTGTCATTGGTGAAAGTAATTAATCAATAATCTAGCTGGCCTTATTGCATCAGTCAATTCAGTTGCAAGAAGACCAATAGTAGGTTATCAGAACAGCTTTCCTTCTAATAGCTTCAAAATACTACGCGCAAATAAATTCTGAAGATCTGGTTTCTAAGGAATCCTTGTTGCTGTTCCAGATGGACAAGATGGGAATCTGTCATTTTCAAAGCCAGTTATGATTTTATGAACAAATCATGATCTTTAGTTTGGGATTCCCCCTAAGGCGATGCAGTTCAATGATAATTGTGGGACAGTTCTTTCAATCATGTGGGAAATGCAAGGTCCGCTAAAGGTCACAATTCTTTCTTCACCAGTTGGTTCATGCATACCAATATATTAGGTCCCACAAAAGGATCTTCTCAAAAGAAATTTTCTTGAATGGTCCCAACTCCCACTACACTGAAATTATTTCTTTCAATCTCCAACAAATAAAATAAATAAATAAATAAATAAAAGAGAGAGCACAAAGAAATAAGAAGAACAAAAGTAAATGATATACCTAAGAAGGATAATGATAAGAAAACTGCATGCTGTGACCGCAATGGAGAACATAAAAATCTGCACTGGAAAATACATTATGAATACTTGAAAAGGAAGTTTCAAAACTCCTGGAAAGGAAACGCTCTCAGTCACCTATTGGTGTACATTGGCCAAACCGAAAGATAAATAAAAATGAGGTAGAAATACTTGCTACCAGTTAACTCAATAAATAAAATCCCCAAACCAGTTCTCAAAGAATTAAAGTCATTCAGCCAGTACGCACTAAGCCTGTCTTAAACCTGATCAAATATTGAGTTAAAAAATTGGGCATACTTCAACATGTACATATCAATTTTAATTCCCTTGACATAATTGTGTATTACATGTACAATAATTAATAGTTTTTATTTTCCTATATACGAGACTAGCATAAAGAACCTTGAACTAAATCATCTGGAACTCATGCTCAAACCTAGCACACAAATATAAGCATTACTAACTTAGTGTAGCACAACTGTATGCTTTAAGATTTACTTGTTGCTTAAGCAAGTTCCTTTTGTCTTGGGAAAATCATATAAATGAATAAACAAAAAAGAGAAGGATTCCTCATTTAAACTCAAAGTATCATTTGAGGTGGTCCATCTTCCCCAGCGAAATCAAAGTGCTCTTCTCTTTATAGGTTTCGTGCTTTTGCACAGTGTTTTTTGATACAACCCATCTCCTATAAAGACACAAGTAAGGCATGTAACATGTATACATATTTGGAGAACCCAATGTTGATTTTATACAATAGAAACATATTAGGTGCAACAACATGCACTTTATGCAACCTCGTTCGCATTTAAAAAGTAAAGCAGGACAGGTTTTACTTGGGATGCACTTTCCGCCGCCAGCTCCAATAAAATGTAGCTCTATCATGAATTACAAGAACACCATACCCAATGATTGCTTTAGACACTTCAAAAACATTCCAAGAAAAACAGAAAGAATCACCTCCAACACAAGACCAGTCTATATTTAAAGCCATAAGGTATTTTTCTTCCATTCAAAGTGGAGGTCAAAACTGAGTTGTGATGTAAACAGTGTTCAGATATATTCTTTTTCATACTTTCCTCCCCTACCCCCACCTAAAAGAAAATAAATAAATAATATCCAACTTGTCAAAATGTATTGTGACTTTACGAGGATAGTTATCTTTCTTGAACCTTGAAACACCAAGTTCATTCAATAACCAAGGCAGTGATCATGGTGAATTAAAAACCGAGCAAGACACTAGATTTCAAGAATAAAATAAAATTTAGAAATTAGCTATACACAGATTTGGATAGTTTTTTATCACTAAGTTGTCAAACTAAATTCATCCCTCTAGAACTAATAGATCAAGAATTGCACAATAATCAAGACAGGCTAGTTCTCAAAATTTAAGCCAAAACATAAGACCATCACAAAGTTGCCAAACTGTTCCAGGTAAGAGTGTCATTAATATTTGTATCTCATGTAGCAAGGATTTTTGTAGAACTTTAGACAAGGTTTTCTCAGGATCTATGTATAATTACAAGAGATATTACAGTCCTCGAACATCAGCAAAGAATTTTTTTTTTTTTTTTTTTATTTGACAGCAAGTTTGGAATACATGCAAAGCTTAAATTCAAACGTGACCATGGTAAATCTAGAGATAAGTGAACCACAAGCTAATTTGTCATAAAAAATAATATATGGATTCATATTTGAACTTAAAAAGATACAACTACCCAATAATAAGTAGGCAATGAGTTCTAACAACAATGTTCAACTTAATAACTTGTACAGTGAGGGTTATAAGTAAAAGATATCAACTAATCTAAGTACAGAATTAGTTCATAAATTCCTTACAACTTTGAGAAAATCAGCCTCCTCATGGTCATTAAACATCCAAAAAATATAAACTAATAGACCTGCAAGATAAAAACAATGTTCTTAGAATATACAGAAAATACACATGAAACTAATTCAAACCTGACGATAAATAGTAGCATATATGGCATCTATAATAACCATGAATTACCATGAAGATTCCTGGAGTGGAGTGGCAAGTGTATCATCCAGAGGTTAGAGGAGTAGATTTTACAGCCTCTAGATGTATCATTCACTTTCAATGTATCCACTGCAAAATTACTAAACCTCAGATCATAGTGCAGTCAAACTTTTGTTACTACTGTTTGAAGCGTCCTTTCTGACCTTCTTTTCTTCTGCGCCCACTCAGGTCCATATATTGCCAGATGTGTCCGACCAAACCTTCGATCTTTTATCTGGAATTTGTTTCACATAATCAATAATAACTCCATACAACATACACATATCACTTCAGTCAGATTTAAGAAATCACAATATGTGGCATGCTAAAACCATGTTTCCAATTAGGTAAATGACAGCAAATTGTCATCTCATAAAGAAAAATATTCAAGTAAAATTCAGTTTCAAGACATGTGAGCACTAGAAACTTCTCTAAGCTCCCAACTAAGCAGCTCACCTGCCACCTTATTTGAACCTTCAGATAAGTATATAAGATTTTATCATACAATACAATTTCCAAGTAACAAGAAGAGCAGTTATATATATCATCCTTTTTTTTTTTTAGTTCTTTTAGTAAGCACACACACGTGGATAAACTAACTACTGACTGTAGGGATTACCTTTACAAGACATCCACATGAATCCAGCATATCTATTCTTAAAGGATACTCCACTACCTACACCATTAAAATTTAGAAGATAAAGAAAATTTAGCAAGAACATTAGATATAAAATATAAAAATAAATAATGAAGATGCAAATAAGAAATAACTACTCACAATAAAGGTATCTTTTCCAACTAAGGCTGACTTTGAAATTTGATCCATAAGTACCCCATAATCCACTGCTGTATATGGAGGTGTAACGCTAATGTAGTCAAACGCTCCATCTTTACCTATCCTCATGCAAAATTTGATTTGTAACAAATATGGATATAAGAGGAAGTTGATTGTAATGAAAGAAGTTCAGATATTATCATCAAAAAAGCTGTCAGCCAATTTGAAATTTTTTATCAATATTTCTTAAGAAATCATTACATTTTTATAGCATTTTTCTGAAGAAAGCAAAAGGTCTATTATCATTTAATGGTTGTTTATATTATTAATTTGATAAAATATTATAATCTACGATACAATTGATTAGCTATAACATGTCATATAATCATGTAAAGTTTGAGGTGGTTTACGAGAATCTACAATGATTCATGCATCTATCAAAGTTTTTGTTCTTCTCATTGTTCAAGGCCTTTTGAGGTACCATTCTTTGGGATTTCTTGCAAGCTGTTACCTCTTTCTCAGATAGTGATCATCAAATATGAAAATGTACATAGAAAATAATATAAGAGACCAAAGATTCTCAATCTTCTCAATGAATATTTCCAAATGATATATTATCATGAAACCGCACATCCTGTGGTTTCTCAGTATCATTATGATCCTTCAAACATATTACAAAGAGGTGAGGAAGTTATAGTAATCAAAGTTCAAAGATGATTGTATTATGTTCCTCTTAGTGTGAAGGCTTTCAGGAAATCAAGGCAGACCAGCGGGAACAAAACCCACTTACCATTATTTTGAACTAGACATTAATAAAAAGGTAAATATCCAGAATAAGTTGCTTCAATGAGGAGATCCGATACTTCCATATATCTCATTAGATTATTAAATCAAAGAGAGAAAGAGAGAACCACAAACCTATGAATTGCTTTGCTCGATCTATGAAATCTTCAACACGAACAGTATGAATAGATGAAACATCAAGAAACCCAGTCCATTCCAAGTTTGGTTGTAGAACATTGGAAACAACCCAAGGGTCCATCTCGACAAAATGCACCTATGAATTTACAGATACAAACAAGAAATTACAATAAAATATACTAAAAAGGAAGGCGAACAAAGTTATGATAGTACAAATAAAAAGTAAAGGAAACATATCAAAATCTTGTTCTATAATACCCAAGCTCTGATTTTATATCATATAAGAAAGCTGGTTCAACCTATTATGAGTTTATACATTATTTTTATGGCTTGCCAAATACCAAAGGTGACACCAACAATAACTAAAGATCATATGTCATCAAATGAAGATACATGTATAAGTTAGTAGAGGTACTTCAGAACATCCTCGGCTGATAGCTTCGATACCAACAGATCCAGTGCCACTATACAAGTCTAACCAGCGACCAGGCCTTAAGGATGCAGGAGACCCACTGGCTACCTAAAGAAAGCAAGAATAAATTATTCTTAATCCAAATCAATAGAATCCAAAACTTAAACTTCCAAATCTAACTGGTAATTATTATTAGATAGTGTCACAGATGGTACCTGCAGAATATCAAAGGCTGCACCCTTTACTACTTCCATCATTGGTCTCACATCCATGCCCTTTGGAGACAGCAATTTCTTTCTCTTAGCCTTTCCTCCAAGCACCTACAATTGCAATAATAGGTATGTTCTAAATTTATAACAGAAAGGACTTGCAACGATATCATTTCTACCACGAAATAATACACAACCAAAGATATTCATTTCTAGACATATGGTTCAGTAACTTCAAAAAACATGTAAAAGAAAAACACTAACATAATTATCTGCCGAGGAAAACCACCGTCAATGAAAAACTCAATCAAGTTGAGCCAGTGAACTATATTAACACATTAAATTAGCTCAAATCCACAAAGCTCTCAAACCCCATCAAAACAACACACTTCCATTACCATTTGTCAAACATCCTATGAGCTCCACCCAAAAAATATTCCAAAGTGGACAATGATTCTAACTGAATTTATCTTTATACAACCATCACAAAGCTTCCAAAATAAAGCAAGAGAAACTAAGTATACTAGTCACATATATAAATAGGGCTAATGTAAAGCAAGAGAAACTAAGTATACTAGTCACATATATAAATAGGGCTAATGTTTCATTGAGATAAACTAAAACCACCAAAAACCAAACGAAAGCACATACTTGAAGGAGTTTATGAGTGGTTCTTGATTCCTGAGGTTCCTCGTCTGACACAAGCTTTGATCCTCTTCCCCTCTTTTGCACTTCCTTTCTCCTTCGACTCTCACAACCCCATTTCCCCAAAAAAAAAAAAAAAAAAAAAAAAAAAAAAAAAAAAAAAACTCTTTTAAACACCACAGGCAGCAAATTCATCAAGTTTCAAACTTCAAATCTTTTCAAAACAACCTTAGAAGAGGGTTCAGATAAAAACTACTCCGGGTCAAGCCCGTATTGTTTCAGCAACTCTTTCTTGTCCTCACTGGACAACCCAGGATCTGATTTTATAAAACAAAAACAACACAAAGTCAAGTCCTAGTGAAGTGAAAGCGAGAGAAGTGGAGTTGTTTGAGCTTACTGTAAGAGCAAACAAAAAGGGGAAATCGTTTTGCGGAAGTGGGTGTGGAGAAAGTGGCGTTAAAGGGTGGAAGACTGTTTGTTTTAGAAGAGAAGCTCAGGGGAGATAGAATTGGAGAAGCTAATGAGACTGCCATTTTTGTTCCAAGTAGCTCTAAGATAGCAGAATCTCGTTATACATCTTTAATTTGGGCTAAGTTTTATCAAAGCCCAAATCCCATACTTGATTCAATTTTTCCAAAGCCCAAGTTGTTCTAGCCCAAGGCTCAATTTATTTGCTAAATATAATCAATTTAACTAATTAGTAAATTGTAATCTTAAAAGCATTCCTAAAATAAGTCAATTTCGTTTTGGAAGTTCAAAGACATAAAAGGAATGTTGTTTTACTTGTGATTTCAAATGCAAATTTTACATTTTGTTTGTTTTTTTTAATTTCAAGTATAGTTTTAAGCCGCTTTCACATCAACAATATAACACGTCAATAAATACAAATTGTCATTGCATATTCACTTTTCAATAAGATGCTCAATTGCAAAGACGAGCTTTATCGATCCTATCACATATCAAAGAGGCTCGGATCTTTGGTGAAAATAATCAAAAACATGAAAAATAAGTAATAATAATAATAATGATTGATAGGTTCAGATAGAACTTGATATGAAACAAATATAACTTTTACAATTCTTATACCCTCTCGCACGCTCAACATGTACAATCAAAGTCTAAACTCAAATTTTAACACATTTTTTCACGTTCAGTTACACGGTCAAGATACAAACCTAACTTAAATAAAAATAACTTTAATAACATAATAAAGTAACTTGGATAGAACTCAACCTTCAAAATTAGCTCAAAGGAAAAGTATATACACAGTTGCAACAGACTAAATGGACAATACTGAACAAATATAATTTCAAACAAATAATAATAATATATTAACAAATAAAATTCGAATATAAATGCAATAACTTATCGTAGAGAGTTCTCGTAACTTCTCCAATTATCAGCACGTGCGAAAACTTTTTTGAACACGTAAAGATTTCAGACACTAACTCTTCAGAAGACGTGGTGTGGAAATCGAGGTACAGAGTCCACGTGGCACACTTTTGGGTCCCACGATGAGCATCGAACATGCGCGTAAGACCCCAGAATTGTCGTCAAAGTACGTTATTATCGTTAATTTGGCGTTGAAAAGTCAAAGATGGGCTCGCAAAACAAACTACTTGAAAAACAAACGAAAAACAGTTCCGTCATTGAAATTCTTAGCGGTGGATCTTCCCATTTTCACGAATAAATAAATAAAGAACACTCGAAACTCTGCACTCAGCTCATCGATTTGAAGTAATGGGAGCTTGTGGGTCAAGATTTTTCAAGGAGAAGAAGAACTTGAAGCGAAAGAAAACCACAAAACGCCATGTTTCTTCTCGTAAATTTGATAAAACATTAACTCTTCAAGGTTTCTGAGGGCTAATGTCAGATGGGTTTTTTTTATAAAGAAAATCTTTTTGTTCTGGGTTTGATTTTGTTTGTTTCATTGTTTGTGGGCAGGAAGTTTGGACTCAGGTTGGTTTGATTCTCGTTCAATTTTGGAGTCTGAGTTGGATGAGGAATTTTACAGTGTTCATGATGGTACGTGGCTAAATTTTGCAAATCGTTTTGGTGATTTGGTTGATTTTTTTGTTCATTGGAATTAAGGGTTTGGTTATTTTGATTGTGCAGATTTTGTGTCTGTAAATGGGGGCATTTTGTCTCCAAAAACACCAAAATCAAAGAGGAAAGGACTTGCAAAGCTCTCCTCATTTTCAAAACTTTCCTTTAAATTCAGGGACGGACATGGTAATCTACCATTAGGTGAGAGCAACCTTTTGTTAATTTGTTCAATTTCGAGTTTAGTGAATTGATTATGTTGTAATTTGGATGGCAATCTTATGTTTAGTTTGTTCTCTTTTGTTACAGTTTCACCTAAGGGTCTTACAAAAAGACCACTCGCAGGTTCCTCGACAACAATTTGCCCCATAGATAAGAATCTTCCTGATTCTTGGTCACCCATTGCACCTAGTAGCTTTAAAGTCCGGGGACAGAACTATTTTAGGTGAGATACTTTACTTATGTTTAAACATATAGTGATTGCATTATATTCCAAGTCTTTAGTTCTTTGCAATGTAGTTGTTTGTAAATTACTACAAGCTGCCTGAATTTTTAGTATTGAATTCTTGTTTATTTTGTTGATTACAGGGATAAGAAGAAAGAGTTTGCTCCTAATTATGCTGCATTTTGCCCCTTTGGTGCTGATGTCTTCTTATCCCCACAGAAAATTGATCACATAGCTCGTTTTGTAGAACTTCCTGCTATGAATTCTCGTGAAGAAATCCCTTCGATTCTTGTTGTCAATGTCCAGGTACTTCTACAGCTCAGTCTCATTTGCACATAATCTCAATTTATCTATTGAAATTAAGTTAATTACTTGTTGAAAGATGCTTTAAATTAAGTTATTGCCGAGTGGTTGCCATGAAGTCCAACCACAGACTGTCGAGACACTAAGCTATTATTCTTGTTCTTTTTATCTGCAAATTGGGAAAAGAATATTGCTTTTCTTTCGTATCAAACAGATTTCAAAAGTGTTTTAGTAAATGAAACTTTTTTTTACCTTCAGGTGCCGTTATATCCTGCCACGGTCTTTCAAAGTGAAAATGATGGAGAAGGAATGAGTTTGGTGTTCTACTTCAAGTTATCTGAAAGTTACTCAAAGGAGTTGCCACTTCATTTCCAAGAAAATTTCAATGTAAGATGATAGCTTCTTCCCTGCTTTGAAGTTTTGCAATAGGTTTAAATTTAGCTTGTATTTAGTTCTTTGTTATAGAAAGTTTCTGCATCAAACAGTAGGTTTATGACTTATCTGATTTGTACCTCTTTGTTATTTAATTATTCATTAACCTGTTTATCTCCATATATTTTCTCAATCACAGAGGATAATCAACGATGAAGTGGAGAGGGTTAAAAGTTTCCCTTTAGATACAATTGCGCCTTTTAGGGAAAGGTTGAAACTCTTGGGCCGAGTTACAAACATCGAAGATCTTCATTTAAGCGCAACTGAGAAGAAGCTTATGAATGCATATAATGAAAAGCCTGTTTTATCACGTCCTCAGCATGACTTTTACTTGGTAATATTTCTTTGTAACTTTTTAAGTGCCCGAAGACTATTGTGATTTTCAAGAAGATTGCATGATAAAAGTGAAACCAAATTGATAGTTTAGGCTTTTACCTGGTTAGGAAAACCAATTTGTTTCACTTGTGCTGTTGCTTTGCGTGCGTCCTGTGATTGCTAGATTATTTTCTTTCTTTCTTTATTTTAATCCGCTAAGCTGAATAATCGAAAGCAGTCATTTACTCAAGATGACTGATATGATATCTCTTGCAGGGAGGAAACTACTTTGAGATTGATATTGACATGCACAGATTCAGCTACATTGCTCGGAAAGGTTTCGAAGCATTTCAGGACAGATTTAAGCTGTGTACCTTGGATATTGCCCTAACAATTCAGGTGCTTTTTCTTTTTATTATTATTATTATTATCAAAACGGTTAATTTCTAATCTTTCTCAAGATTTACGCGCGATGTATATCTTACATAATCTTTTTACATTCGAACAGGAAACTAAGGCGGAAAATTTGCCCGAAAATATCTTATGTTGCATAAGATTAAATAAAATTGACCACGCTAATCATCNTCATGTGGGCAGGAAGTTTGGACTCAGGTTGGTTTGATTCTCGTTCAATTTTGGAGTCTGAGTTGGATGAGGAATTTTACAGTGTTCATGATGGTACGTGGCTAAATTTTGCAAATCGTTTTGGTGATTTGGTTGATTTTTTTGTTCATTGGAATTAAGGGTTTGGTTATTTTGATTGTGCAGATTTTGTGTCTGTAAATGGGGGCATTTTGTCTCCAAAAACACCAAAATCAAAGAGGAAAGGACTTGCAAAGCTCTCCTCATTTTCAAAACTTTCCTTTAAATTCAGGGACGGACATGGTAATCTACCATTAGGTGAGAGCAACCTTTTGTTAATTTGTTCAATTTCGAGTTTAGTGAATTGATTATGTTGTAATTTGGATGGCAATCTTACGTTTAGTTTGTTCTCTTTTGTTACAGTTTCACCTAAGGGTCTTACAAAAAGACCACTCGCAGGTTCCTCGACAAAAATTTGCCCCATAGATAAGAATCTTCCTGATTCTTGGTCACCCATTGCACCTAGTAGCTTTAAAGTCCGGGGACAGAACTATTTTCGGTGAGATACTTTACTTATGTTTAATTAAACATATAGTGATTGCATTATATTCCAAGTCTTTAGTTCTTTGCAATGTAGTTGTTTGTAAATTACTACTAGCTACCTGAATTTTTAGTATTGAATTCTTGTTTATTTTGTTGATTACAGGGATAAGAAGAAAGAGTTTGCTCCTAATTATGCTGCATTTTGCCCCTTTGGTGCTGATGTCTTCTTATCCCCTCGGAAAATTGATCACATAGCTCGTTTTGTAGAACTTCCTGCTATGAATTCTCGTGAAGAAATCCCTTCGATTCTTGTTGTCAATGTCCAGGTACTTCTACAGCTCAGTCTCATTTGCACATAATCTCAATTTATCTATTGAAATTAAGTTAATTACTTGTTGAAAGATGCTTTAAATTAAGTTATTGCCGAGTGGTTGCCATGAAGTCCAACCACAGACTGTCGAGACACTAAGCTATTATTCTTGTTCTTTTTATCTGCAAAATGGGAAAAGAATATTGTTTTTCTTTCGTATCAAACAGATTTCAAAAGTGTTTTAGTAAATGAAACTTTTTTTTACCTTCAGGTGCCGTTATATCCTGCCACGGTCTTTCAAAGTGAAAATGATGGAGAAGGAATGAGTTTGGTGTTCTACTTCAAGTTATCTGAAAGTTACTCAAAGGATTTGCCACTTCATTTCCAAGAAAATTTCAATGTAAGATGATAGCTTCTTCCCTGCTTTGAAGTTTTGCAATAGGTTTAAATTTAGCTTGTATTTAGTTCTTTGTTATAGAAAGTTTCTGCATCAAACAGTAGGTTTATGACTTATCTGATTTGTACCTCTTTGTTATTTAATTATTCATTAACCTGTTTATCTCCATATATTTTCTCAATCACAGAGGATAATCAACGATGAAGTGGAGAGGGTTAAAAGTTTCCCTTTAGATACAATTGCGCCTTTTAGGGAAAGGTTGAAACTCTTGGGCCGAGTTACAAACATCGAAGATCTTCATTTAAGCGCAACTGAGAAGAAGCTTATGAATGCATATAATGAAAAGCCTGTTTTATCACGTCCTCAGCATGACTTTTACTTGGTAATATTTCTTTGTAACTTTTTAAGTGCCCGAAGACTATTGTGATTTTCAAGAAGATTGCATGATAAAAGTGAAACCAAATTGATAGTTTAGGCTTTTACCTGGTTAGGAAAACCAATTTGTTTCACTTGTGCTGTTGCTTTGCGTGCGTCCTGTGATTGCTAGATTATTTTCTTTCTTTCTTTATTTTAATCCGCTAAGCTGAATAATCGAAAGCAGTCATTTACTCAAGATGACTGATATGATATCTCTTGCAGGGAGGAAACTACTTTGAGATTGATATTGACATGCACAGATTCAGCTACATTGCTCGGAAAGGTTTCGAAGCATTTCAGGACAGATTTAAGCTGTGTACCTTGGATATTGCCCTAACAATTCAGGTGCTTTTTCTTTTTATTATTATTATTATTATCAAAACGGTTAATTTCTAATCTTTCTCAAGATTTACGCGCGATGTATATCTTACATAATCTTTTTACATTCAAACAGGAAAGTAAGGCGGAAAACTTGCCCGAAAATATCTTATGTTGCATAAGATTAAATAAAATTGACCACGCTAATCATCGTCAACTGGGCCTATAAGCAACAGACTCTCAAATCTAGGGAATGACAGTACGGTTCAAGTTTCCTGATGAATGTAGTACTTGTAGTACTGATTTAGAGCTATAGCCATTATCTTTTCTTTCTATTTGCTTCCCCCCTGTAATCTCTTGCAATTTGTGAGTTTCCTTTTCATGGAATTATATGAGTGTACAGTCTGACGTCGAAAAATGAAACAAATAAAATACACAAATTCTCTTCATTTAATTTTTTTATTTTTTTTATTTTTTAGAAATGATGATCGGTATATACATTCATGTTCATTTGTTCTTGGTACCCTCAATGAAACATGTACACCAGTCCAGAACCTGGGATAAAAATCTGTGCTATACTATAAATACAGTAACTTTTTTATATCAACTATTTCATCCATCTTATGGCAGGCAATTTTGTATATTTAATATTATATTATCTATGATAATGAGATAAGAAGCTGTATACAATATATGCAAGATAAAGAATGGCATATTTTCCACTCTTTTTTTATTCTTTTCTTCTGTTAATTTTGTATTCACATCTTCTTGATAATTCTCTAAGAGTAGTGTTACATATACAAAATATAAATCAATTAGGTATTACTCTTTTGATTGTCACATAATCCAATTCTTATCAAGATTAATATGAGAATTCTAATTGAATATATTCTTTTAGGAATTGAAGTCCCTAAAAATTAGCACAATGTAAGATTTGATATCAAAAAATCATATTCTATTGGGTGATAGTTTAGGAAATTGAAGTCTCTACAAATTAGCAGTATGTAATATTTGGTGCCTTCATTCATAAGGCAAGTTCTAAATATTCTGACTTGACAGTAATTTGCCCAAAAACAAAGCAATAATTTTGATTTCTTTCCAGAATTACTTAAAAGAAAGCCAAGAATTGTTGGTAAAATCAAATCCTGCCTCCTATAAAGGGCTATGAAATCTCCATATTTTATCTTTTAAAGGCCTGCGAGAAGCCATTGAAGCTTAAGGTACTCTATTTTCCTTCATTGTTTATGCAAAATGTTGCTTCTTGTTAATTTATTTATTTACCTTTTTTCAGCTATTCATATTTAAACTCTCTGACTTTTGCCTCTTTGACACCAACCCAGAAGAGCAAAAGTGTTAAAATCAGTGTAAAAATTTGAAGATTTTTCATATGGGAATTTATTGTTCAAGATCTTAAGTTTGTATATGTCATAGATTTCTTCTTAATCTTTTTGTCACTTTGTTTATATATTCTCAGATCATACATTTAGTTGATGAATCTAAATTTTGTTACTGAGCTTGTTTGACTTGATAGATAAAGATGGGGCGCGGAAAACTCACAATGGAATTGATTGAGAAGGAGAAGGCTCGTATGATAACCTATCAAAAGAGGAAGAAGGGTTTGAAAAAGAAAGCTCAAGAGTTTTCCACACTTTGTGGAGTCCCTACTTGCCTGATAATATATGGTCCAAAACTGCAGAATCACCCTGCAGAGTTAGATTTTTGGCCGAAGGAGCGAAAAGATGTGATGGAAGTTATCAATTTGTATAGGGAGAAGGATTTTTCGGCACATGGAAACAGACCTCAGAGTTTGATTGATTTCTTTTCGAGTCGAAAGAGAAAAGTTGATGACAAGATTACTAAACTGTACAAGGCTAATTTGGAAGCGAAATTCCCCAGATGGGATGATCGTTTCAACAGTTTTTCTGTTGATCAACTTAAAGTACTAGTTGCTATTTGTGACACTAAAATTGAAGCTGCCAGAAGGAGGATTGAAGTGTTAAAAGTCGAACAAAATTTGATGGAAGGTTCTGAATCAGGGGTTCTGGTTGGATTCAGCAATTCTAATCAACATAGTCAAGTTTTGTTCCCATTGTCTTCTGTGAAGCCACTTGACATGCCACTGGCTTCTTATTATCCATATGATCAAGTTCCATTGGATTGTAAACCTCTTGATAATCCAATGGCGATAATGATGATGAACGGGGATGATTATACTCAATTTGGCGATGCGTCTAGTGGCAATGTGGCGAGATACACTCAACTGCAGTACCCTATGCATTTTGATCCAATTCCAACACCTACAATGCCAGACAATGTGATGTTCAACAATCCCAGAGCTATGCGCTTTTGTGGCCCAACTATGCAGCCATTGCCTCCTTTTGATCAGTTTCCTGTTCTACCAAGTAATTCTTCTCAAATGTTCGGTTCTCAAGTCAACGAGTTTTATCGTGACGCCAACAGGTTTGGACTCAAGAATGAAAGAGAAATGTTGCAGAACTTTCAGGGGTGATTTATTGTTTCATCAATAAAAGCTTCTAATGAGCTTGGACTTGGGATGATTTAATATTTGTTTTAGCCTTCATATTCTAAGTCTATTTAAGTGTTGGGTTCTCTTTATTTCATTGTTCACAATATTAGTATTTGAAAGATTCAATATAAATTTATCTGTTTCAAAGTAGAAGATTAGAGATAAATGGATAAACAAAAATTTAACTTCTTTAACAAGGAATGTTCATGATTGTTATGAAAGTTATAACAGCATTATTCCTGTAATCACAATTCAGAATGCAATGAAAAAATTAATGTGGCAAAAGAATGTAAAAGAAAAAGTATATCCAGAAGAATTTTACATTACCAAAAGGAATGACATTGAACAATGCTACCCTCTACATCGTCCGAAAAGTGCAGAAAGACCACAGCCTTGAACCTTTTTATCAGAAACAGCCTCATTTTCTGAAGGAGATGGAGGGATTGGTGCTCCAGGACTTGAAGAATCAATACTATTCTTCTGGTGCAGATTCCCCTCTCCATTGGTATCAATGTTTGGGAGTTGCTTATCATGTTTCGCTGTAGGAACCGGAAGGCCTGTTTTAGGATCAAGAATCTGTAGATCATTCCATATGCGGCCGGACGAGCCCTGTCTCCTGAAGGAAACAGATGATCTTTGCAATGTTGTCATTGATTGATCACTGCTTCTTTAATTACCCCTCTTAATTTCTTTGACACTTTTGTTTTGTTTTGTTTGTTTTTTTGCCCTTTTTGTGTATCTTATTTAATTTGTTCCATAAACCAGGTTATGGCTTCTGGTTTTTGGGATTTGTGGTCAGTTGATTCTGGGATTCAGTTTGTCCTTGTGATTTTGTGGCTGATCTTTAGAAATCTTTTAGAGGAGAGCTCGGTCGTTTGGATATCTTTTAGGCTCACCAAATGGTGGATCTTATTCTAAATAAACAATTTTGTAGCCCTTGGATTCAGGAGAACTTGAATCTGGATGCTTGTTAAATACTATAATTAGGTGCCATCTGATATGGTTTATTGTTAATGTAATTCTGATAATATTGCTAGCTATTTTTAGGGGATAAATTAAACTTGAAGAATGTTTTTTTGAGTATCTCTGGACTCTTGTCTTTTTTCTTTATACAGGGAAAAGAAGATTATCTGTGACAGATTTTTCCAGTGTCTTGTATTGATTTGACCCTCTCTTCGGATTTTTAATCCGTTGTAACAATCTCAAATTTTTTTTAAGGTAGTTGTATCAATCAGTTACCTTTTTCCCACCCAAATAATAGTTTAACGGCACTTTTTCACTCACAAACTTTTAAAATATCATTTTCTCACCCAAAAAAATACACTTCCTGATTTAGCGGCGAATGGAGAGCAAACTCGGTTTATTTTGTTGGGGTTTTTGAAAAGTGGAGGTCGGTGAGTCTTTTGGTAATAGAATATTGTATTTTGATAGTCTTGATTAGTTGTAATTTGACTTGTGAGGGATAACTGCGCAAGCTATAATCGCTTGATTGCTGACGATTGGCTGGGTCGACGATAGTAAGGTTAGAGGGGTTTTGGTGAATGATGATCGAGGAAGAAAATGGTGATGGTTTGGGGTCGCAATGATACCGGAATCGGACGACGATTGACAGGATAGGTGGGAAAGTGTTATTAAAATGTGTCATTTGGATGAAAAGTGATATTTTAAAAGTTTGTAGGTAAGAAAATGTCATTAAGACATTATTAGGGTGGGAAAAAGTGGTTTACTCTATTAAAATAATGATTTTGTATCCCAAATGATAAGATAATATTCATAATACTACATTAATTGGCGAGATATGCGACTAGTCATTAGTGTCTATAATTTAATGGTTAATGTTCTCATTTATTAAATCAAAAAAACAAAAACAAAAACAAAAAAAAAAAATCTTAGCAGAATCATCACAAGCTTTCTGAAATTCTAACCGCCTAATTCATAACTAGAGGAATCACCCTTTGTAAACTAAACACTCTTAACTTGATTAATCAAAAGAGCCATTCAAAAGAGCAAAATATTGTGAATTCATCTCACTGTCCTTACTCAAAATGGCATCCACAAAAGAAATTGTGGAAGATGAAGAAACATCAGCACATTTGTTGTATGCCCCAGAATTCTCTTGTTCATGTTGTGTCAAAGTTGAGTTGGTTGAAGACAACATCCCCTGAGGCTCAAGCTCTAAATGTTGCTGATGTTCCATAGACATATGAGGATCATAGATGAGAAATTCACTCCAACTAAAGGGAGAAGGAGGCGATGCAGGCCGCGCAGCTTGAGACTGAAAGGGTTGGCCGGAACTTGAATTTGATGAGCTTAATTGTGCGATAGTAGATGAAGAGGATGAAGAACAAGAAGAGGTGACTACAGTTGAGAAATAAGGTTGAATAGTCTCCTGGTTTGACACTTGAAAATCCCATGATGGGTTGTTGTTAGCAAAACGTAAATTATCTTGGAAAAGTTCTGGCTTTGGCTTCAGGATCATCTCATTAATATTCCGAAACTCATTAACCACTAAAGATGATTCAGGTTTGGACATTAATGTATTGATGTTTCTTCCAAAACTGTTTCCAACATTCGCGAAACTGCTAATGTTTCCATAGTCAGAAAGCATCTGAGAAAAAGGCTTATGAGTAAGAGGATCAATTCCCATCTTGGAAAGCTTCTTCCTCAGCTTAGTGTTCCAATAGTTTTTCACATCATTGTCTGTTCTTCCAGGAAGCTGTCTTGCAATTAGAGACCATCTGCACCACAAAAGAAATGAAGTTATTTTGGAAAGAGAGAATGAAGTCGTTCAGTTTGCACCAGTAACAGAAAAAAAAAAAAAAAAACAAAGCTGTTAAGACAGTTGTACATTATGATGGAAGTTAAGTTCTGTTATTATGACACAGGATCTTCTAGAAGGTCAGTTACAATGAGTTAAAGACTTAAAGTTCACCTGCTACCAATGGCTTTGTGAACATTGATTATGATCTCTTCTTCTTGAGGAGTGAAAGTGTCATGTTTAAGGTCAGGCCTCAAGTAATTAGTCCATCTAAGCCTGCAGCTCTTGCCACATCTGTTAAGTCCTGTAAAATTAAAACCAAACTCATGAAAACATAAAATGTGATGAAAAAAGAGTTAACTTTTCTTGCAAGAAAAGTGATTAGCCTTTAATTTAGACCTGCTTTCTTGGGAACTAAAGTCCAGTTACCAGTGCCATGCCTGGCTACATAAGCAAGTATTTTTGCATCTTCTTCTGCAGTCCAGGGACCCCTCTTGACATTCGATTTATCGCAACAAGGCGGCCACCCCATGGAGAGAGAGGAGGTAGAGATGGTGAAATTTTAAGTGAGAGAAAATTAGTATAGGTAATGGTGATGCAATTGAAACCTTTGTTTACAAGTACATTTTAATAGAGAAAAAGAAAAGAGTTTAACTAATGGGAAGGCAAGAAAAGCATGGAATTGGCTCCAAAATTAACAATAATTGCATGATTATTTTCACCCTCTGCGAGAAACGGTTTAACTTGACATCACAAAATAATGCTCCTCTCTCTCTCTCTCTCTCTCTCTCTTGAACTGCCTACATTAGCATTTTATTCAGGTACATTTTGGGTGTGATAATTCATAGTTTTTATTTTTATTTCTTATTTTGGAGGATTCCTCATGTTTCTTAAGTAATGCAACTCTTATGGCACTTGACAGTAGCATCCCTTGCTTGCTTCAGCCTTATAATTTGACCCACAAGAATAAAATTTGATACCAAATATCAACTTGAATAGATGAAGGTGATTGCTCTTTACTCACCAAGGAAGATGTTTGAAAAGGTGGATTAATTTCTTCCCAACTTTTTTGGAAAATTCTTGTTTAATATAAACCATTAGCCTAAAAAATTATCGCCCACATGATTGCTTGGAGAAATATGTTAATATGGTAAAAAAATTGTTTATCAATAGTTCTTTCGATATTAATTCATAGTCATCCAATGATCTTAATGTAGTCGATATTCACTTCATTGATGGCTTTCTTATGACAATTATGGCTTCATCTGAAAACTTAAGCTTGTTGGTGATAAAGCCAGGAGTTTCACAATTGGGCATTTATAACCTTTCTGAATACTTGAGAATCGTGAAAGAAAGTGATTTGCAATTGTAACTTGTAATTGCATTCAGTAAAGCTTAAATTGTTCTACATAACAACAGCCTTAGATCATTACACAGACCCAAAAAAAAAAAAGAAAAAAAAAAGAAAGAAACTGAGACTGAGACTGACTGACAGTACATATATGTGACACTTTGGCGGTTTTATAAACTCAATAAGCTACAGAGTGTTTTATTATTTATTATAGTATCTTAATCCCAGAAAGCACAACTCAATGCTATATACAGCAACTATTAAGAGATTAGTCCATCCCCAGTGTGTAAAGAGGAAGGGAACCAAAACTGGAGAAGAGGGCTTCCTATGAGGATGCTGTCGATGATGTGCATGCGTTACAACTCTTCCGACAGTATCCAGGAGTGGTTCCTGCACCCACCATATACTTAGGGTTCTTTGTACACTCACCCGCCTTTGCCCACATAGGACAGTTCCTATCCTCGTCAAAGCAACCAATTGGCACCTTCTCAACTTTGTCAAAGGACCTGACATGGATCCACTTGGTTGCAGACCACTTCTCACCCTCGATGACTGGGCAGCTCCCGTGCAAGCTGCTTGGATCTGTAGTGGCATCAGGATGAAGACTGAAGAACAACAAGGCATCACCTTTGCTGGGTTTCACTGCAGGTAGAGATGGGAAAATTTATCAGACTATAGAAATACAGTGTAAACCTGAATTACATTTTATGACAATGGTATTAAGGATTAAATTGCTAAAGCCAATTCTATTAAAATGTTCATGTTCCTTCCGTCCTTTCACCGACATAAACTTATTTCAAAAACATGAAGTTACAAATTCACAGCAGAATTCTAAGTTTATCTAACCTGCATAGCCTCGTTTAGCACAATCAGACCAGCTATCATCCTTTGGCTGATACAATTTTCCCTGCAGAGCCAAAAAGATGAGCAATCTGAATGAAATAAAACAAGAAAATGGATGTTCAAGAATGAGGCTGGGAAAATGGGGTAGAGGAGAAACCAAAGAGCGTTAAAGAGCTATAATCACAAGCAATCATGTACCTCTGCATCGGGAAAGACAGTTTCTCCACCCTTCTCGACACTAGACAGATACATCAACACTGTAGCAATTCGGTGGCCACCCAGCTCTTGATTGACTTTGTCATGAAAATAGTCATAATGTGGTTCATACTTTTGGCCATTCTCGTAATGCAGTATTTGCATGGATTCCCCATTTTCTGAATACAAGACCAGGTTAATAGAAAGATTATACAAAGTTCTTTTTGCAACTGTTTAACAAATCAAGTGTCAGCAAAAAGCATATAATAAATATACCTGGTGGAAGAAAAGTCCACGCAGCAATTCTGTCCTCAACATCAGCAACTATTTCATCCTTCAGAGATTAAACAAAGAACACCATATAAATGTTAAAAGTTCAAAAGCAGAAAGTGCATCCATCATAAAACATTCCTGAAATACATCTGTTGCAGTAATCTATTACTAGATTAGTCATCACAGAGCCATGACATAATCTTCACAAAAATATATGCATGAAAGGAAAAGATAGCATTTTATGAAGCCCTATTTGAAAAAAAAAAAAGGAAGGTGGTTTTTAGCTAGCAGTTTATCAACATGACCCCATATTCATAAAGCATAGCTACCTAATAAATTGTCTGCCAGAAAGAAAACGTTTTGGCTGTAGAAAACTAGTAACTAGCTTGGGTTTCTATTCGTTCAAAAAGAAATTATGACTCGATGCAGAACCAAGAGGCTTATATTAGATTATCTTTAGTAGAATTATCTATTTGAATAAGACTTACCAGGATTTATCTTCATTATTTGGTGAGTTTGATGTTAACCAATAATCTTCTCTGATTAGATTATCTTTAGTAGAATTATCTACTTGAATAAGACTTATCTAGGTTTATGTTAGGCCATGATAAATAAGCCTCGATGTATTTTATTTCAGGTGGTGAACATGAATCAAAATAATTGATTGATCTTCATTATTTTTTTCTCTCTCAGTTCTCTCCCCCCTCTCTCACCTCCTCCTCCTCCTAATTTCAGTTCTGCCTCTCCTAATTTCTTTTCTTCCCTTCATCAAGCATTTTGTGAAATCAGAAGAATTTTCTTAATATTGACTGTGAACAAAATACAACAATATATACACATTCAACAGTCCATTTAAGGAAATGAAATAATCTAAACTAGGAAAGGGAATGATCTAATTTCCTATTCTAAAGATCCTATTCCTAAAACATTTGATCATATTCCTAAAACATTTGATCCTATTCCTAAAACATTTTATTTGTACAACTCAACACATTTCATAAAATGCTAGAACTCCATAATCTTTGTCAAAGCCACCACATACAAAACTAAATTGCCACTATATTTATAAGAACGATAAAAAAATGCTGACCACCATTCAATGTGAAATAGTACAAAGCATTCAAGAAAATTCTCTCCTATCATCTGTGTGAAATAGTTCAGAACGTTCAAGAAGATTCAATATCAGACAAGGTTTAACCATTCAATCAAAAGGAAAAAGACAACAGATGTTGAAATCAAACTTTGTTAAGGATAAATCATAAGCTTTCATAACTGGACATAGACAAGAAAAAGGATCCATAACAATGCTACACATGAATATATTACGGATTACGTTAGCAAGATAATAACTGTGGCTACAGGAATTTATCAATGTCAAGCAAGTGAATATTAAAAATTTCCCCGGGTGACAGCGTAGCAGTAAGTCAGAAGAAATTGCAGGGAAGAACAGTTAGAAGTAGTTCATTTACCCAGCCCTAAGATCAACCCAAGAGCTCCTATATTAATATCACAAGCTGTTTCCTAAAGGTTCAAGCAAACCTTGGAACCAAAAGTTTTGTAAAAGAATGTGCAATAATGATCTATTTGACACCATTAACAAACCACAATGCCAAAAACATGGACCAAGTACATTACTCTAGCAATACAATAAGATATCTTTCAATTCATGAAAATAGCATCAAATCATTGAAACAACTCACCTGAGATTTGTCAAGAAACATGCCAGAACTCGTTCGAACTTCACTCTCAATACTCTTACCCGATTCATTATCAGCAACCATAGACTTCTCAAGCTTGTCCTTTGCCTAATCCATCAAATTAACAGAAACCCAGATAAGGACAACACATAGGCAAATCATTTCCAACCCACCGACAATGTTCACATCAAAGTCACAAAATTTCCCCCAAAAGTCTATCATCCAACATAATTACACCATCAAATTAATATCAAAAACAAAACATGAAACTAAAAAAACGCAATTATCTCACCAGATCAATAAGATGATCACACTCCTCAGGTGTCAAAAACCCTTTATATATAAAAGCCCTACAAATCATAATCACCAAGCAACATTCTAAATTTACATAATCAATAAACAACATTCAAATTCTATAAACATAAAAACCCCACAAAATTTTTTTTAAAAAAATAAAAATTGAGAGAGCACCTTGGAGTCCATGAAAGCTGAGTGACATGTGCAGGATCAAATTTAACGTTTCTCTGCAATCCAAGAACCGATCCCTGCCTGGAGGAAAAAAAACAAATTTTCACAAGATCGAACATTTAATACATAACTTTTTCTAATTATACGTATAAAAAAATGTATTTTTTATACGATAAATAGAGAAAAATACCTTGCTTTGTCGTTGAGCCAACCGGGAATTTTCACAGAGAGGGTGGGATCAGGGAAAACAAGGAGGAAACAGAGAGAAAATGCAAGAAAATAAGACGAACCCATCTAGGAAAAAAACTGTTTTTGCTTCCAGAAATCTAAAAATGGGGAGATTATAATGAATGTGCTTTGGGTGTTTTTGTTGTCGCTGTTTTTAAAATCAACGTGCGAGGCTGGTTTTGCTTTGAAAAGTCTATTGAATTGTGTTGAGGAGGTTCATTTTTCTTCTGTGGACCTTTCCATGTTTTTGCCTTGTATGCTTCCATTTAGGACAAGAGAGTTTAATGAGATGAGCACCCCCAGAATTGACTCTGGTTTGTTGTTTTGTATTAAAAATCAATAGGCACTGTCTATTTTTGTTTTGTGGTGTTATTTTTTTTAGACGGTTCTTATAATTATAATTAAAAAAANCATTCAAATTCTATAAACATAAAAACCCCACAAAATTTTTTTTAAAAAAAAAAAAATTGAGAGAGCACCTTGGAGTCCATGAAAGCTGAGTGACATGTGCAGGATCAAATTTAACGTTTCTCTGCAATCCAAGAACCGATCCCTGCCTGGAGAAAAAAAACAAATTTTCACGAGATCGAACATTTAATACATAACTGTTTCTAATTATACGTATAAAAAAATGTATTTTTTATACGATAAATAGAGAAAAATACCTTGCTTTGTCGTTGAGCCAACCGGGAATTTTCACAGAGAGGGTGGGATCAGGGAAAACAAGGAGGAAACAGAGAGAAAAAGCAAGAAAATAAGACGAACCCATCTAGGAAAAAAACTGTTTTTGCTTCCAGAAATCTAAAAATGGGGAGATTATAATGAATGTGCTTTGGGTGTTTTTGCTGTCGCTGTTTTTAAAATCAACGTGCGAGGCTGGTTTTGCTTTGAAAAGTCTATTGAATTGTGTTGAGGAGGTTCATTTTTCTTCTGTGGACCTTTCCCTGTTTTTGCCTTGCATGCTTCCATTTAGGACAAGAGAGTTTAATGAGATGAGCACCCCCAGAATTGACTCTGGTTTGTTGTTTTGTATTAAAAATCAATAGGCACTGTCTATTTTTGTTTTGTGGTGTTATTTTTTTTAGACGGTTCTTATAATTATAATTAAAAAAAATATATTTTTAATAAATATAAGAGTAAACGACATGTTCCCACCCAAGGTTTGACGACATCCAATGTTGGTACCCTAAGTTTTATTTATTCCAAATTTCCACCCTTAAAGTAACAGAAAATGGTTAGATATAACTGCTCAGGGGTAAATTGGTCATTTCACAGAGGAGGCAGATCGGAGCCCCTGATAAAGTTTTGGTGCACGTTAGCCAACCTCACCGCCGATGCTTTTCGCCTTTTTCCGGCGATTCTTCCACCCAAAATCACCATTGTCACCACCATTTGAACATTTATCCTCCCCTCTACGAAACCGTACCCTTGACAACCCCTTATCACTCGCCGATCGCCAGCTACGACAGCAGCCACATGCGGCTGGTTTTCGTCAATCTCCACCGGCGAATGACCACTAAACGGTTGCTGGGACATAAGGGTTTTGTAGATTAGGAGATGCTGGTTGTAGTGGTGACGTCGAATTATATTTTCATCGCCGGAATCTAGCGAAGAATGATGAAAACCTAACCCTGACGATGCCGTCGATTGGAGAGGTCAATGAGTCGGGAATTAGAGGGGTTTTGGACGACGGACGATGGGGAAGCTGATGGAGGTGACCAAGGGTTTCGCCGCCATCGGAAATAGCCCAGATCCGGTGAAAATCGAGATGGTGCGCAGTCACTAAGGGGGTAATTGAAGTAATTTCAAAACAAGATGGTTAATTTTATAATTTTAGTAATTTAGAGGCTAAAATATAATTTAGGGTTAAGGGCATTATGGTAATTGCACTCTCACTACTCCAAAAAATGTTAACAGTGTTATTTTAAGGGTGGGAATCTGGAATAAATAGAACTTGGGATACCACTTTAGGATTTCGTCAAACCTTGCGTGGGAATATGTGGTTTACTCTAAATATAATTCGATAATATTATAAAAATAATAATTTATTTTATAATAATAATAATATTTGTGACTGAGAATTTAATAGTATTGTATAATATCGTCACTGTTAAAAACTATGGATTAAGAAAATATTTATCATGTATATTCATTGAAAAAAATATTTTTTTGTCTTCTTATAAATAAAATGTGTCCGAATAATAAAAAAAAAATTACCCATTTATTATCCTAACAGTTGTCGTAAAAGCTCACGTTAAAACAATTATTTATGCATTTAAATTTCGCTTTCTTATATATATAAATAATTATTTATCTTTATTCCTCTCATTTCTAACTTCTAATGGTTTCATAGCGCAATAATTTATATTTCCATTAATTTATAGAAGTTATAGTTATTGACGGAATTGGTATAATACAGATTTTTTATTTTTTATTTTTGTTATTTTGTGAGCCGTTGGATGCTAGATATATATCGTTATTTATTAAATTCTATTGGAGTAATACTTTAATAGAATTTACTATATATATTGGAGTAATATCTTTTTTTTTTTTTTTTAATTTATATTTTTTTATTGTCATGTGTAGGGCAATTATCTATAATATTATATATATATAAAAAAAAAATTAAGAAAATCATAAAATATAAGTCTCTCATCAATATGCTAACTGAAATTGAAATTAGATGAGCTTGAGTACTTGTGCCAGCTATTATATAACAACATATAAGTAATAATAAACTAATTAATATGTAAAATATAAGATTATCTCAAATCTAAATTGGTCCAATAATCAATTCTGATACTTGTGTTTCAACTGAAAATAGATAAAATTGAGCCATAAATAGGTGAAAAAATATCTTCAATCAATTATTCACAAGTCATGCATATTGATGAGAATGAGAATCTCTCTAAATTTCATTAGTCTTTATCATCTTGTTCATGAAATGTTTAGTCACCTTTCCTTTATTTCTTAATTCTTTTTATTTTTTTTTAATAAACAGGCAGGGGTGAGCACGGGTAGCGGGTAGAACCGGAACCGAGGGGTAGAACCGGAACCTACCCGAAACTGATATTGTACGGGTAGGTTCCGGTTCCAATTTTTTGGAACCGATACTGTGCGGTTCCGGTTTCGGTTCCAGTTCTTGTGTGTGGAGGAACCGGAACCGAAACTGGAACTTGTAAAAAGGGTACCCTGTTTGGAACCTATAAGGGGTACCCGGTTTGGAACCGATTTTTGGAACCTGTTTAGAACCTGTTTGGAACCTGTTTCGGAACCTGTTTTAGAACTTGTTTTGGAACATGTTTGGAACCTGTTTTGGAACCTGGACTACAATGAAATATTTGTGAAATGTGAATAATGGAGGGTTTCTATTATTTTACATATAAAAAAATTTAAAATAGAAAAAGTTAAATTTTTAGAATAACCTAATTAAATAAATATACGAATACAATTATACTTATTACATATAAATTACACCATATTAAAAGCTTTAATATATTATAATACATTAATATTAAAGTTTTGATTAATTAAGTGAATAATTGGAATTATGATCCAATTAAAAGTGTTTTACATTTTTAATGTTATTAAAAGAATTATTTTTGAATAAAATAGTATATTTGATTGAGTAATAATATATTTAGTTATTTACTTCAATTATCAAGTTCTAAGTATATCTATAATAAATTAGTAATTAATTAATTATATATGATAAATTGATAAACATTAATAAATTTAATTACTAGTTAAATATCATACTTAATCAATTATAACATTACATTATAGTTAAATGATTACTTAATTAATTATAATTTTATAACATTACTTAATTGATTTATAGTATAATTAATTATAGCATTACATTAATTGATTACTACTTAATTAATTGACTTTTATATAAACATTAGTACAAACTTAATTAAATGATTAAAAATTTAATTAATTATAATATTACATTAAAAATTTATAGTATGATTATTTAATAGTTAATTCACTATAACATTACATTATAGTATGATTATATAATTAATTATAACATTACATAATTAAATAATTACTTAATTGATTATGAGTTATGATATTATGTTTTAAACATTAGTAATTACTAATTTGCTACATAAACATTAGCACAATACTTAATTAAATGATAAAAAATTTAATTAATTATAACATTACCTTATATATTTATAATATGATTACTTAATCAATTATAACATTCCATTATAACCATTAGTATATTAATTAAATGATTTGAAATTTAATTAATTATAATATTAAATTATAGATTTATAGTATGATTACTTAATTCATTATAACATTACATTATACTATTATAGTATGATCATATAATTAATATAATATTACATAATTAAATGATTATTTAATTGATTATGACATTATATTATAAATATTAGTAATTAATTTACTAATTTACACAATATTTAATTAAATGATTAGAATTTTATTAATTATAACATTACATTATAAATTTATGGTATGATTACTAATTAATTATAACATTCTATTATAAATAATATTACAATACTTAATTAAATGATTAACAATTTAATTAATTATAATATTACATTATAATTAAATAGTATATTTGTTAGGGGTGTATTTGTAAACTTTTAAGGTATTTTTGTCATTTTTTAAACTAATAGGGGGGTAATAATTTTTTACAGGATACCCCGGAAAGGAACCGGAACCTGCATTTTAGGTTTCGGTTCCTTGAATTGAAGAACATGCACTGTACAGTTTCGGTTCCGGTTTCTTTTTTTGGGAACCTGTACTGTGCGGTTCCAGTTCCCCCGGAAAATGGAGGGTGCCCGAAACCGCTCACCCCTATAAACATGATATCTGAACCAGATTATGTACACTTCAACTAATCTTTATAGATGATTAATGCAGTATATCTTCTCTAATTGCAGATAATTAGCATTAATTGCCAACTTAATTTACACTGGTAAGTTGAATTGCAAAACTTTGATTATCTAGATAATCATATTCATAGACTCCATTAATATTTCTGCTAGCAGCCCATGACTTTGTTAGCATCAAGCTTAGGTTTTTCAACAACAGTGCCATCGTTTCCGGCGAGAGCTCTGTACTTATCCTTTCTGGTGAAGTTGGTGCATTCATACGACAAGGTCGAAGCAATCATCCTCTGAATGTAATTTGCAACTTCGTGGCTTGATTTTCCTGCTCCACAGGTTAGCTCATTTGGTAATTTGTTCAGAAAGGTTACTTCATATGCCGGGCTAGGGTTCATGAAGAAGTAAAAAGGGTCCATCCCTTTCCACCCTCTCGCTGTTGTCCCATGAAACATACTCATTCTATTCGCCATTGCCACGGGAACAAGCTCATCGGTTAGCTCCGCAAATAGCGCCGAGAATCGTAGCAAAAACGGCTCTCTGCATGTTGTTCCTGTCAATATTCATCAACATTTTTGTATGAGGAGTTTGTATGCGTAATGTTCTAAAACCATATGTTAATATTATTCATTAGTGCAACGTACCTTCGGGACAAATAACTAGGTCACCTTCCTGTAGCAGCTTTTTGATCATGTTAGCATCGGTGACACGGTCGCGGCTGAGGCGAACAGTCTTGATAGGGGAAATGAATTCGGAGAGACGGGAAAGGGAGTATGTGACGGCAGGGATGGGGCGGCCTAAGGCGGTGGATAAAAAGATAGGGTCAAGCAGGGTTCTGTGAGAACAAATAAAAAGAACACCAGTTTGGCCTGTGGATTTTTTGGCCGGTGGAGGTGGGGTGCCTTTGATGTAGACTCGTATACCGAGTGCCCAGAAGGCGTAGTAGACTAGCGGCATAGGGAGGAGGGCGCCAGCGGCGATGCGGAGGCAGGCGAGGAAGAAGCCAACCGGGATCCAGAGAATAGTTACAAGTGCCATAAACGGTGTTGGCTTTTGGACAAGGCGGCCGTCGTGGAAGACTATTGGTTTT